CACAAGTATCGTTTGGTCGCAATAAATCGCTCTGTATCACTTGAAATGTATTTTCCCCGCAGAGGAATCAAGGAGGCTAACCTTTGACGTCAGTGCGCTATCGTGACATCGTGAACCAATCACACTTCTATAAGATACAGGATTCTATACAAGCTCTACACACTTTCTGGATTTTTTTTAAAAAAAGGTTTCAAGTCATGAGGGCAATGTCATGGAGACAGCCCTTCGGAACAGACATAATCATTAGAACTAAGAGCAAGATACAGTCATAATGTACACATGTGCCATAAAAGAGGTCATGGCGCAAAGGACCGACCCGAATGAATACATGCGGATCTAAAGCATCAAGATGACCACCATAAAATAGAACGCCAGCCAAATACATGCCGTAAGAAAAAAAAAAAAAAGAATTGCGCCAGGAATTGTCACTGTCATTGCACTTGCACTTCATTCCGGACGCTTTTGTTGGAGCATAGCACGGAAATCATCATTGCTCTTTTTCGGTTTGCTCTCGCCGTCAGGCGCCGTGTCCATTTTGTCACTGGCCGGATTAGCCGCAGATTGTTTTTGAGCGGGTGCAATTTGTCGTTTCACTCCAAGACCACCCCTCCGGGCACCAGGCTGCTGCGGGCGTCTAACAGGCCCAGTAGGCTGTAGGTTCGTCTTCTTCGTTTTACCTTCGGGTTTCACGGCCCGATCCTTTTTGGATTCCGCTTGCGAATTCATCATCTCCCGAACTGTGCCGATATGGAGAGGGCGTCCAGCAGTGATCTCCTTCCCTTCAAGCGCCAACGCAGCTTTGCCGGCATCGTGAATATCGACATATTCCACAATAGCACCTTGATGTTCGGGACGCAAATTGATCGCCACTAAACGCCCATACGGTTCGACGAGGGTACGGATTCGGGCTTGATTGACCGTATCGGGAACGTTCATCAAAGCAAGTGTGCGCTGTGCATGATCACCAACCGGTACTTCGAACCCATCGGCACCGTGATCCGCCGGGCGTGCTGCGACTCGAGAGATGACCATTTGGTTTCCACGTCGAGTGTCGGTGGTAGCAATTTCAACATAAAGAGGACGCGACCGGAACACATGTCCATTCATTGCGACGGCATCTTTGGCAGCCTCCTTGGCAGAGAAAGTAACGAAGCCAAACCCTCTACTGGAGCCGTTAAGCTTTCGCTCAATCAAGACCTTTTCGATTTCACCGAATTTGGAAAATAGTTTTTTCAGATCCTCCTCATTGGCCTCCCAGTCGATGTTTGAAACATAGATTTCTCGTCCTTCGTATCTGGGACCACTGCGGGCTGTTTTCTGTCCTGGATCGGATATCTTCACACTGAGCTTCTTGCCATCTTCGAATCGCATTCCATGAAGCTCTGTTGCATGATGGGCAGCACTGGACGTGTCAAACTGCAAGTAGCAGAATCGTCTGGAAGTGTCAAACTTGAGAGACGGCATTCGAACCTCGAGTACTTCTCCATACTACTAAAGTCAATATGACGCTACAAAGGCTAGGGCGAAGTAGCACTTACTTTGCTGAAAAGGTTGCGGAGATAGTCCTCATCCGCAGTCGGGGGGTAATTGGTGACCCAAATTGTCGTCTGCGACCCAATTTGCACGTCAATGATGTTATCGGTGTTGTTGAAACGCTTTTGGTCACGAGTGACAGCGGCAAGAGCGTCTTCCTTGGTTTCGAATTCGATGATCGCAACCTCGGAGCTTTTCGCGTCTCTTCGGAGCATTTTGACAGTGTTTATGGTGCCGATCTGTTTGGTCAGCTGGGTTATCCCGATAGTAACAAGGATAAGGCACTTACATTACGGAAGAACTGGCGAACGAGAGTTTCAGTGGTACCTTTGGGTAAGTTGCCGACGATAACAGTCGCATTTTCTCGATCCCGTGGAAGGGGGGCCGCCGGTTCGACTTCATTGCGGACCTTTTTGGTTTCCGGCATTTCGCCTTTTTCGTCTTCGCGTTTTCTCTTTTCGGGCGATGGGACTGCCTCCACTGCAGCTTCCCACTGCTGTTGCTGCTGCTGCTGTGCTGCTGCTGCCTCTCGCGCTTCTCTCTCTCTCCGGGCAGTGACAGCTCGCATTGCTTTCCGCGTCTCAATCACAGCCAGCTGGAGCTCATCAGAGTCCTCATAGTCCTCGCAATGTGTAATGTATGTCTGAACAATCTTATCAGGCCAGTCTAGATCAGTTCTCTTGATCGCTTGTTTGAGCACAGCAGTAGCAAAGCTCGGGTTGGGAGTTCGACGCGCTGCATCGACTGTTGCCTCGCCTTGCACAAATTTGCTCCAGCAAATCAACTCCCACCCGTAGTAGGTGAGCCAGAATTCGTAGCTACTGCCACGGCGCGCCACTAAGCCCCTGAAGGTCTCTCGCGCGCTGTCCCAGCTGCCGCTTTCGCTGAGGAAGCGGATATAGATCCGCTCCAGACGGAAAAGAGGATCGCCCTGATACGCCGGGCCATACTTCTTTTCGCCCAGTTCTTGAACGCTTTCGATGGCCGAGCGAATGCCAACTTCTGCAACATCAAGATCTTCGTCGGTCGAGTCAGACAAAAACGCGCGTCGGCGAAGGTAACTGCACCAGGTGACGTGAACCTTCAAGACTTCTTCCAAACCACCAGCATCGAGTAGTCCGGTACTGGTTGCCTTGTGCTTGATACTCGAAATTTTGTTGAACGACTGGTTCTCTCTTTCGGAGCTTAGCAGGTACTGAGACCACAGGTTTCCAGACCATGGACAATGACGCGTGGCACGATCTAGGGTAGAGATTGTTGTGGTAGAAGCGCGGCGATGCAGAGATTCGCCGATCAAAAACATGACATAGTCTTCCCAAAGCGACACATCGGTGGGGAAGTGAAGGACGGCGCGCTGATAGATGGCGTTCACCAAATCGAAGCTGAAATCTCCTCGCTTCCGGCGGTTGCGTGTCAGTTCCCAATCGATGTACTCGGAGTAAATTGTCCATTCTAGAGCGCGATCGGTAGACTCTTGCGCTTTGGCTAGGCGGTGTTCAAATTCCTCTCGTGCGTTGTAGAGAGCCTTTGGCTCAGCTGCGCGAGCAACAGTCTCGGACATGATGTCCTCATACTTGCTGTTGCAATAAGTCGAAATGAAGCTCGAAAACTTCTGGAAGGTCTGATCCCAGGTGGCGTGGGGAGTTTGCAAACGATGGCCATAAAGTCCATGAAGATGGTTGATCTTTTCTTGGGAAGGTGCACGCGCAATGTCCTCGGCATAGAGATCTAAAAGGCGATCCCAGACCAAGTGGCTATTGTTGATCCTCCACTTGGTAGCATCCGCACCCCGCTGCCACACCTCCACGACCGAATCCCAGGTGAACACTTCTCGCCCAACGATGCGATCTTCTTCGGTCCACTGAGAACTGGCTTCGCCATGAGCGGAATTGTAGAGATAAAGAACCCATTCGCCGTAGATATTCCACAGCTTTGTGCTGCCAAATTCCTCCTCGACGGATCGCTGACAGAGTTCTAGAACAGCAATGCGCCCGTCGACATCTTGAGCTAACATACTCTCATCCTGAATCCATTCGGCCCAAAGATCTTCTCCCATGGCGAAAAGCTTGTCCATTTCTTCACGTGCCGTTTTCAAATCGTTGAGTAGATCATAGCGTCGTGGGTCGCCGTGAACATCTGGGTTATTCGGTGGGTAGACATGGTTGACAAATCCTGCATGCAGCAATCCAATAAATTGCACGTGCGCGTCATGCGTGTGGGGGTTGAGAGAGATTTGATGAAAAAGTTCGGTCGCCTTCCGTTGCGCATCAGGATCGAGCGAAGTCGCGGCGTAGGTTCTCTTCGCGGGCCCGTCGCGCCCATCCGACATGGCGATTTCGAAGGACATTCGAGAAGTAGGAGTGTTATGAGTGATAGAATTGACGTGCGGGTGAATAGTGGATGGGGATAACTGGTGCTCATAGGATTCAGTACTACGTAGCATGCTTGTTGGTGTTGGACGTTGTGGCTGGTGGTGCTGCATCGAGGCGAGATCCGCCAAAGTGTCCATTCCCGGGGTGGATGGTTGTCTTGAGGGCACTTCAGTCGGAGAAGTACCGTTTCCTCCACTAGGTCCTGGCGAAGATTCCCCAGTGGGAGCATACACCTGCTGTGCGAGAGGTGAAGAAGTCTTGCCCTTTCGTCTGGAGCCTGTCCGAGTTCTCTCAATAGCTTTGTGGGGGGATGGCCCTGCAGAGGTCGCCGGTGCGTTGTTCGACGTAGGACCAGGCACGGGCGTCGAATTTCCAGACTTGGGATTCGAGTCCGGAGAAAGAAGCTCTTTGATGTCCATGTTTGGTTACAACTCTGGGAAGAGCGATTGAATACCGGGAGTTGTCGTAATGGATGCCCAGGTGCTTTTCAAGCAGAAATCCAGATCATACGACAGTCTTGGAGTACCTCAACACATCCATTCCTGCATCGGCCGGTCGTATCAGATCCCCCCTCGTTGTTTTCGCAAATGACGTAGAATAACACTTGCGCAGCTGTTTTTGGCGGGTGGTTAAGAATCCAAAGAAATGCCTGAAAGGAACGAGAGCCCTTTAAGCGAGTGGGCAAGCTGAAATATCAGAGATCTCAGGTATTTGAAAAGGATGGAAACGACAGGCTGATGACCTGGGAAAGGAAGGGAGGGATGAAGGAAGACGAAAAAGAGAGTGAAGAACTGAGAGAGGGAAAGATGAAGGCTAGTGGATACTGTGGAGATGGTTGGGAAGAAGAAACAATAAAGTCGCGAGAACGAAGTTCGAATATGATGGTCAAAGATACAAGATCATCTCCATTTGTAGATAAGCCTGTTCTTGTTCTATAGACTCGTGCAGTCGCAAGTCGCATCTCTCTTGAGGCTATTCTGATCGATCAACTTCAAGGTGCCTCAGGCTCCGGTATGCCGCACAGACCACAAGTGCAGGGAACTTTCACCTTTTTTCCCGACGTGAACTTCTGACAACAACATCCCAACAGCCACAATGGTCTATCGCTCAGGGCAATTGGTCCGGACAGGTACGTTATAGTCATATATACTCCGTCTGACCTTCATACTGACTTATTTTTCATGTTTAGCAGCCCGGACCGTCTCCTTCGTCCCTCGCCGAACGTTGACTTCGACAGCCGTCCGTTACGCTTTGAAGGATGGCGAAAGCAAAAAGCCGACCGGCTGGTTCTCTTCCTTGAAGAACGCGTTCATGGGAGATTCCAGTCAAAAACCCAAAGTCACCCACCGACCCTCGGCCCCTAAGAAGGAAGAAGGTGCTTTAGGGAGCTCCATCTTCGGATCAGATTTCACCGCACCAGCATCGGGTCCCATGCCATCCCGGCCGAAGGATGGACCAAAAGAAATCGCCTCCGGAAAGCTAGAGGACCGCGACTTGAGCCGCCTGCAAGTGGGACTGGGTCCCGACCCCAAGGCCCAGCTGCGGTGGGAGAGGAAGATGGTTGTCCGCGAGATCCGGAAACGAGGCCGTGTACCGACAAAGGTGCAGATTAAGCGCACAGAGCGCGAGTCACTTTCCAAATCCCACTGGATCAAGACCTCGCTGAAGAAGCTGGGTCCTCTGGCCCGCCAAATCGCTGGCAAGAATATCGACGAAGCCATCCTCCAGATGCGCTTCAGCAACAAAAAGGCCGCCAGGGACGTGCTGGAACATCTGGAACACGCAAAGAACGTCGCCGTGGTCCGTGCCGGCATGGGCCTTGGCCTTGATGCTCCCAAGTCCGAATCACCGAAACCCCTTACTGTCATACTCAAGACTGGCGAACGGCATAAGATTGCCAATCCCACTGACATCTACATCCAAGAGGCCTGGGTCAATCGTGGTCCCTATGGATATGAGATGGATCACCGCGCCCGCGGTCAGATCAACCGCCTACGTCCCCCTACCACAAGCATCTCAGTCCTGTTGAAGGAAGAGAAGACTCGCATCCGCGAGTGGGAGGACCGTGAGGCGAAGGCCCAGCGGGAGCGCAGGTCTCAGCTCTGGACACAACTGCCTGATCGCAAGATCTCCGCGCAGAACCAGTACTACAGCTGGTGATCGATGGATTTTTTGGCGTTTGTATTATTTATATCTAGATCTTTCGCGTGGACAGTGGTTTTCCATTACCTGATTGGAGGCGACAATTGCATTTGTGAGAAGTCGCTCTCATCTTTCTTGAGTAAGAGCGACTCATGTACAATACTGAATCAATTTCTTGCATATCAACCATTAAGACTGGCTGTTCTCCTCTTAATGATTGACAAGCCCAGCAACGATGTCAGTTATAAACTTGTTGTAATTTCCAGAATGGCTTCCAAATCACGCGAGTCTACAATGACTGCGACTCTATCTGCCCGGGGGGGCCCTTTTCCACGGCAACGAGCACAGGGATCACTGCACCAGTTGCCAAGGCAAATCGTCGATGGCCCACAACCTCTAAAATGCTAGTGATGGCACCTGAGTGAGCCGTTAATGAAATGTACGTACTCTCATCATGGGTAAATATATCGTTCAAAAGACAGCGAAGCCGTTCGTTGCGATGCTCGTTCGACTCGCGGACTTCAGGATCCCATAACTTGTCTTCCTCGGAAAATCCTGCTTCAAACCCGTACTGAGGGTATTCTTCTGCGATCTCCGAGGCCGTTGAGCGACGGTCACAGGTGTGCTGGCCCATCGTCTCACGGAGGAGCTACTTGAGTTAGATATTGTTGGTCATTTAGTAGAAATTAAACAGACCTCTTTGATGGTCGGTTTAAAAGGATCCGTGTTCGGGATCGTAAGTCCCTGAAACGTAATTTGCGCCGTTTCAAGGCACCGGTTCAGGGGGCTCACGTAGTAGGACTCGGGTGACGGGATGCCAGCCTGTATCTGTTGCTCCCAAGCTGCATGCGCGACTTGTGCCTGGCATCTTCCCTGTGCAGTAAGACGGGCATCGACCCAGTTACCGTCCTCGTCTCCGTCTTGGAGAGACCAGTAGTCCTAGAGGTCTGTTTAATGTCTGGTTCATAAAGGAAATCCTATCAACCACCTACATCCCACTTCTTGGTACCATACTTGCGCTCGGCAACGTTGTGGACTCCCTCACCATGGCGTCCGAGAAAGAGGACTTTGAGCTTTTTAGTCTCGCTGTCGTTCAGGCGTTGAATGTGGGCATCAAAACGCCGCCATTGGCTGTCAGTCTGTTCCACCCCGTCGTGCTCATCGTAGAGTTTTTCGATGAGACCGAAATTTGATTTCACCTTTACAGATCATCAGACAGTGGTTTGGCAAGGTTATCAAGGTCACTTACGTAGTCGAAAGTGTCGGGGTCAGTAGCGGGGTCATCCTGTTGGAAATATCCCGTCACTGCAGTGAAGCGTAACAGGGCCGGGGAGTCCATAATTTTGAATTTGAAGCAAAGCACATATATGTACACCGTATTAGTGTTATCTTGAACTGTAAAAGGACACGGAAAGAAAGGTTGACGTGGGATTACGGAGATTTAGGGCTGAGGTGGTGGGGACGGCAAAGATGCAACTTGAATTAATATCAAATGTTCACTATTCAGGTCATTTCTAGAGCGTTGGGTTCGAAGTCTCCCATAGAAATAACCTCAGTAGTTTTATGTTGAACAATGCATGATTGAACTACTTTTGATTGTGTATGGATATCGGTATATCCATTGGGAGCTCTAAGCCTATAATTACGAGTAGCACACATAATCGGGAAAGGAAGAAAATTAAGAACAAGAACAGTCAGAAATTCTTAATTTCATCATCAGGGACCACTTCAGTGTCATAGTATATGTCACCTCTACATGCCCTCTACAATTAAGTATCGTTACAGTCAGCCCAGCTAATTATCAGAAGTTGATCCATCCAGTGCCGAGCGATCGGGTTCATCTGAGAACAGCGGATCATAAACACGGAGCGTTCCGCAGACCGCCTAGATATAAGCCCTTCGTCGCAGACACAAGGTGTCGGCCAAGCAGAGACAGACAGTTGTAGACCGCGCCCTCAGTCCCAGATGCCAGAGACAGCGATGACTTCCAGGCACCGGCAAATACGAGGGCAGTACTGGAAACCAGATGGCCAACACTTTCAGCAACGGACCGAACAAGAAGGGATCCGTTGATGAACAGTGGCTGAACCTCGAGGGTATCCGGCAATCCGTTTCCAAAGAGATATGGCGATCCACGCCGAGCCGGCGACACCAGTAGATCCTTTGGCACCGATTGTAAGCCAGGTTGAACTGCGAGTTGCTTGGAAAGTCCCACTGGAACTCTCTTGTGATCCGGTCCAGGTACCTGGGCTCCAGAGTTGCGCACGAGGGGCATGGAATGGCGCATTCCAACGATGCCAGCAACAGTACCTGGTACCACGGACATTCCCATCGAGGATGTCGTCTTGATGTTGGTCCTTTCTGAACATGCAACACCCACCGACGAGGTCGAAACACGCCAGCGCAAGCTCGAGCTGCCAGGTGGCACCGCAGCTGCGTGAAGGTGCCGAAGCGCGCTTGAATTGCGTGGATCGTGGGGTTGTCCACTTCCTGTGTTCTTTGAGATCCTCTCTTGTGTGGAGATTTTCTCGTGTCCAGGGGAAGAGTGCTCTGAGATGGTTTTGCCAGATAGGAGTGTGTCGTGTCCCGGTGGTGTGTTCTTTGTCTTTGTTCTGATGACCTGCTTGGCGATTGGTACCGCAACAGGCAGTCCCATTGATGGAAGTCCCACAGATTGGTCGAGACCAGACGAGACGCTTGTCGGTCTCCTCGGGGCTTTGACGGTTGGAAGCGTTTGAGGGGAGTTGAATGTCGGGTCGTGACCGGGCGAGTCTGAGTAGCGCGATCCTGGGAGGATCGACACTTGGAGCATCGGCGGCCTCGGTCTTTCTTGTAGTGCGGCGTCCATAGGAACGTCGCTGGCAGTGACACGAGCAGCAGCCTTCTCCAGGCAGTTGCACTGTTCGAGCGTTAGCGTGCTGGAATGTTCAATGTGAATGGAAAACTCACTCGCTTGTGCTGCTTCTTGTGCTTCTCACAGGCACCGTACTTCCGAGCCTTGATGTAGTTCTCCTTCTGTGCCTGAGATCGAGGCTTCTGCTTCTTGGGCACATTAGCTGCAGCGTTCATGTTCAAGTCGAGAACCATCTCCATGCCTCCTGGGGGAGGTGCCTCGGAGACAGATGAGTTCTCCGGGCTAGGGCGTGGAGAGTTGCTCCCGCGAATGTATTCTGACCAGCTTGGTGATGAGAAGCTGGTGTTGGAATCGGAGGACATATCCAAATCAAGAGCAGTAGCATCGCAAAGACGCTGCAGATGCAGCGCAATCGCTGCCTCGCGGCGCTTCTCTTTGATAGTAGCAACACGCGGGTCGGCGGCGGCCTGCGCCTCAACCAAGTTCCGGAATGCATTGCTGCTGTCGTACGGGTTGTAGCCCAGGAACGCAGCATCATCAAACAAGGGAGCAGCCGATTCCTGCATGAAACCTCCATTCATTCCCATGAAATCTTCTTGTGGGAGATCATAGTTGGTCATATCGAAGGAGGATTGCATGAAATCAGATGAGGGGGTGAACATCCCATCTGCCTCGTAAGGGAGAGCCAGATCTTGAGGTGAGACGGTGGTGGCAGTAGACTGGTCATCGTAGCCTGAAGGGAGATCGAGGAATTGATCGAAGTCAACCCACTCATTGGAGATGGATGCATCCATCTCAAAGAATTGGTCCGCAACAAAAGCCATTGGAAAATGAAAGGGGTATCACTAGGGGTGTCTATCATGAAAAGAGAATCAAAAAGAGGGTTTGGATAAAGCCAAGGCTAACCTTGGGGTATAGAAAAGAATAAACAACTGGCTTCCGGAGAAGGTGAAGAACCCAAGACCTGAGGCAGCGGTTGATTCTATGTATGCTCTGGCTCTCTCAGTCCGCCATTCCTTTTCGGGGTCCCCGACTTGACGCTAATCCACTTTGGGACCCCGACACCCCGCTTGATCGCTCTAAGCCGCAGTATGACTCAATGCGCATACCCATAGGGTACTTCTAATGCCATACAATTTACTATGGAGATCTATGTACCTCTAAAATCTCTTTTACTAGAAGAAAATTCCACATCCACTTGGCCTCTCTAAGTATGTTGTATAAGAATTCTTGAATGATGTACCTTATTTTTGAAAGTTTTGTAGAAATATATATCTCTTTACCAAATTGTTTCAGGCTGTGCATGCATAGCCCGGCTGAATTTGTACTAAAGCATAATTGGACAATATAGCCGGCATATATCTAGTCCGACGGAGATGTAGTTAGCATATCTAAGAAAAGGAAGATAAATGTACTCTGGACGGAGTATTATAGTCAGCAATGAAGTGAACAATCTCAATTGAATTCAAGCCACGGTTTTTAAGGGTTTGACCCACTGTACTCCGTTATATGACACAGATTTTCTCGGAGCCTCGGCAAAAATTCTTCAAAAAGTATTAATAGCCATAAAAAAAAAATAAATAAAAAAAAGCTCTAGCTCTAGCTAGGCTAGTCATATACACAGACCAATCTTTGATTTGAGATAAGATCCATTAGGGCTGGTCTGAAATGATATAAAACATATTCTGCCATCCACGGATGTTGACCGACAAAGCTTGGCTGATATATGTCAAAGGTGAACGTCCAGAAGAATCAATCATCATATCTTTTTTCAAAGAATCCTATGGGGCATATAAACTCTTATGTGTTATTTGTTATATCACAAGTTTCCTTAAGATATAGTACTCCGTATATAGTACACATGGTGATCGTGAGGTTCCACACTTTGAGCCAAAAAAAATCCCAGCTTAGGTAAGGTCTAGAACTCAGGGCTCCGGGACATCCTCAAAAGATTGACAATCCCCCCAAGGCTTCATATCGGATCTCATTGATCATCTCATTATTATTAGAATCACTACTGAACCTCTTCAGTTTTGATTTCTTGATCTCCCCCTACCCCTGACAAGCAAATTTACCCCTCCATCCCCCCGCCGACGAACAGCTGTCCAGCTCCACCCTCGGTTCTGTTGTGGGGAGGGTCGAGATTGATCAAGTGATTGGCACCTGGATGTTTTGAAAGGAAAAAAAAAATAGAAAACCCCCGAGTACCACGGTCTGTACAGTCAGCAGCCCCATCGGACCGTTGACCCGTCTGGAAAATCAATCACGTCACGTTGTCATTCTCCCCCGATCATGGCCGCAGCTTTCAACGAGGAAGACCTCGCTATCCCCCTCCCGTCCGATCGTGATCGTCCGCGTGAGCGTGCTAGGCCTCCCGCCTCCAATCCCTCCGCCATGGCAATGCCCCCCTCGAGGCCGACCGGTAAGGCCGAAGACTCATTGCAGTCGCCATCAACTACCCGAGACATGCAACGCCTGGACCAGTACCAGACCGTGAGGGTCTTGGGCGAGGGTTCCTTTGGCAAGGTAAAGCTTGCTATTCACCAGCCAAGTGGACGCCAAGTTGCTCTAAAGATCATCCCACGACGCAAGCTACTTTCCCGGGACATGGTTGGCCGCGTGGAGAGAGAAATCCAGTACTTGCAATTGCTACGACACCCTCACATCATCAAATTGTACAATTTCGATCCAAAACGCCATTGGGGTTTCAATTGACTAATCACTTGTTTCATTTTTTTAGGTACACGGTGATTGCGACCAAGACCGATATTGTGATGGTGCTGGAGTACGCAGAGCGAGAGTTGTTCGATTACCTCGTGAGGAAGGGAAGATGCGCTGACGACGAAGCCCGCAAATTCTTCCAGCAAATAATTTGTGCTGTCGAATACTGTCACCGACACAAGATTGTACACCGTGACCTGAAGCCTGAGAACCTGCTCATCGACAATCAGAAGAATGTCAAGATTGCGGATTTTGGTTTGAGTAATATTATGACAGATGGAAACTTCCTTAAGACCAGCTGTGGTAGCCCGAACTATGCCGCCCCAGAGGTCATCTCCGGAAAGCTCTACGCTGGCCCCGAGGTCGATGTGTGGAGTTGCGGTGTCATTCTATATGTGCTGTTGGTGGGCCGATTGCCTTTCGATGATGACTACATTCCAGCTCTTTTTAAGAAGATTGCAGCGGGCACCTTCCACATACCTGGATATATCTCATCAGGGGCAGCTCGTTTGATCAGAGCAATGCTTCAAGTTCACCCCGTCCACCGCATTACTATTCCTGAGATCAGACAGGATCCATGGTTCACCAAAAATCTTCCCCAGTATCTGGAACCGCCACGAGAGGAGTTCATTGCCCCAGGCGTGGACTCGAAGAAGATTGATTCTGCAAAGCTTGACATGGCAAAGCCTCCACCGGTCCAGCACAAAATCCATCGAATTGCAGTTTCCAAGCTCGAACGGAGCATGGGATATGGCCGCGAGGATATCGAAGAGGCATTGAGACACCCAGAACCCAGTGCAATCAAGGATGCTTTCTCCATTGTCGTTGAGAATGAGATGATGCAAACCAATTGTAAGACCTGAAGCACTTCATTAACATACCTCTGTGCTAACGATAACAGCACCCACGGAAGATAATTTGTTAGCACAAAATGTCCAGAAAGGAGCTGCACCTTCATCTGCGGATCGGACTCCTGCGCCTCATCATCAAGCCTCACCTGCTCCCACCAGGGACAGGACCCCTAGTATATCGCGCCGGAGGACGTCGGAAGATCCACAACAAACAGAATCCGAGGAAGAGCCCCGCGTTAGCCACGTCCGGATTCTACCCACTAGCTTGCCATATGTTCACGACCAACTCATGGAGCAACGTGATCGAGATAAAAGAGCTCGCAACCAAATCCTCGAACAGCGTCGTCAAGAAGCCGCCCAGCGTGACCCAGAAGGGCAAGGATCTGCCTATCGGGACATGTCTCCCGCAGAACAGGCCGCCACAGCCCGTGCATTGAAGCCCCACGCACGCAGTGTCGTCGACTTGGACAAGTTGCGATTCGAGCCGCCAACCGGTCAGCCGCTCGAAAAACAGCCAAAGCGGAGCCGCAAATGGCAGTTTGGTATTCGATCCCGCAATCAGCCATATGAGGCCATGCTGTATCTGTACCGCGCAATTGCTGCCCAGGGTGGATTATGGGATATCCAACCCGTGGAATCAGGTATGTTTCCGTTCATTGCCAATTTTGAGCTCATTCTTACATTCTTCAGGCACCAATATCGGCCCGGATGCAACCCCCTCCCCTGATAAGCCCAAGCCCCTGCAGAACAAATACCCCGACCTCCCATCCGACTACTATATCCCGAAGGACCCATGGTTCATCCGTGCACGCCTGCTGAAAGAAGGTATTAAGGCTCCTGGGGCATCCACCAGTGTTTACAACAGCCGCAGTGACCTAGAAGAACTGCGCCGCCGCTTCAATATCTCGGGGATCTCTGCCCCAACAGAAGACAGGAGCAGAGACACCCAATCCTCCGTCCCGGACAGTGGTCTCACCAGCGGGGCCTCCTCGGTCAATGGACCAACCGGACTCCCGCACATTACTTACGGTGTCTGGGTCTTCCTCGACATCCAGCTTTACCAACTTGAAGAAAATAACTACATGGTTGACTTCAAATGCGATGGTTACCAGAACGTCATCCGTGCCGAAGGCGACACCGAATGGCATCCCATCAGCAAGCGCCTCAAGAACAAGGAGAAGGAGGTGACTAGCGCTTACCCCTTCCTTGATGTGGCGTCTGATCTCGTCGCCCAGCTGGCTGTGGCAAGCTAGACCAGTCCATTTATCTGAGACCTGCATTTGGCTTTTGTTCATACAGACACGACCATTATTATCTTGCATTAATCTTTTTTTGTTCATATTACTTGCTTGGGTGGTCGCATAGGAGCATTTTGTTTCTGCTGCATTTGGGTGTCTTTCTAGCAAGCGAGTCATATTGTTGCGGGTTCCATATTGTACGGAGTATGTCTCTCATCTTTTTCTTTCGCATGCAAATATTCGTTCAATCCCTTAGCTGAGTACATAAGTAGGTTCCTAGGTAGTTTGAAGCTAAGAATGAGATTTGAGAGAGCTACGGGTTGTTGAAATGATCTCAACCCGCCAAGGTCGACTCCCAATGGATCAAAATAACCTGATAGTTAGAATTAACTAAGGAAGCCTGTTAATTGACCATCTCACAAGGAATTGGATTGAATTCAATTGTATTGAGTACAGTGCTATCAAACGTCTAGCCATATCTGTTGGATATGTCAACCCTTTTTCATTCAATTCTCTCGGTATTCAACATCGTGCCATATTTCATTGCTTTTTTTTTGTCATTTTTCCTTACTCTTCTTTTTCCAGGTCCCCATCCACCTCTTCACAGAGCAGACTTCGCAAAACTCCGTATCTGAAACATAATTGAGCATTGTCTGATACCAATATGGACTGACATGAATAAGAAGTGAAATTGCCAAATCTGAAGTCATGGCCAGCAATATGAATTCAAGTAAGTGAGATAACTCTGGCTTCTTTGTTATTGAAGTCAGTCTGGCATAATACGCTGGGTACAGCAACACATCTCGAACAAGCTTTCCTCGGTGCTGATGCGTGGGGGCCTAGGGCGAGAGGGATCCATTATTGATTGCGCCTTTCTTTTTCAATCAGTCTCTGAGTTTTCATTCTTTTTGTGTTCGGATTGCATTCACAGAGCACCAGGCATACCTGAGCCTTGTACCCGGTGAGGTTGGTTTCTCACTGTAACAGACTGACAAAGTAATAACCTGTCAATAGATTTCTTTCTTTCTTTTTTTTTGGAATTTCTTTTTCAAGTATTTTACTTTTTTTAAAAAAAAAAATGTGATCTGATCATTGACTGATATCAACAGAAGCGAAAACTGATGCGTACAGACCTGCACTATCACCCCCAAGCAGATTGGTGAGTAAATAATAAACTATTTCTCACCATCTTTGCCAGGCTTCTTGCTAGTGCGCTGGCTAGGGGTGCGGTCTATGGCCTTGATGTAGACCCGTTCACTGCGTCGCCGCTGGCTCTCAGACTGGCCACGGTTGGTGCCAGCCCTGCCGATGTGAGCTTGAACGTGCGATGGATTGGCCCCAGTCCTCTCGGTTGTATAAACATACTCGGAGGTTCCATCGCTGAAGGGGGTGGTGTTATCAGTCGTGAAGTTGCTATTTGTTGGCTGATTCGATTCGGCCCGAGTATTGATGTCACAGGTATCCGAGATTTCCCCAATGATATGTCCGCCTCCGTGAAATCTCTGGTCCGGCTCACAGCTATTGCTATTTCCTTCCTTCGTGGGACAGGTAGTGGCAGATCGCTGCCGGATAGCAGCTTCCTTAACCCATGGCTTGAAATGTGGGAGGATTTCAACATCGGGGAAACGAATAGTGCTAGTTCGGTTGACGGGTCTGGGGGTACGTCCCTTTCGGCGATTCGACACTGCACCTCGACGAGGGCTTCCTGGTGCAGCCGGAGACTTGGGGGTATCACTGAGTTGCTGTTTCGTTCTTTCCAGATTTCGCAGCCTGACCATGTGGCTACGCACCAGTTCGATAATCTGACGAATTTCTTGGAACGTCTTGCCGTGACCAACGTGTTGGCGTAGCCAGTCTGGAACGGGGGCAATGATAGCAGTTGGATGTTTGCGGCCTGGAGTCCGAGTAACGACAGCCGAAGACTTGTGGCCTTGATCATGAGCTTGGCCGGTAGAAGGAGTAGTCTCGGGCTCGGTCATGGCTTGGCCTTCTGTTTCACGCCCGACACGCATCTGCTCTCGGCGGCGGAGGATGAGTTCGAAACTCTCCACTCCATCCCATTTCTCCATTCGGGTCAGTGATTCTAACAGGAGATCACATTGTGTAAATGGCCATTGGTCTGCACGGTAACGGGCACGCTGGTAGTGCTTTCGGCAATAATGGACCCAGACACCAAGTGGGAAGAGCTTGGTAACGGCCTTGTTTCTGCCAAATACATGAGACACGACCTTCCGGTAGTGCATTCCATCGGGCGAGGGATTCATCTGGCACGGGGCGGCGAATTCACATAAATGATCCTCATTGTTGTCGTTGGTATCCTCGACTTGCTTATTGGCCTGTTGACTTAGCGGCCCCGGATCACACTCCTGCACTTGTTGATGTTGGTCGTGGCCGTATTCATACAAGTTGTCATCCTTGAGAAGGTAACTCTGCCCTGGAGAGTCCCATGGATGGTCCATAGTAGTAAAATGACCATGACTACGTTGGGTGTTGTTTGGAGATAGTATCGGCGGGGAGCTAGGCAGATCTTGAGGCATCAGGTCATTGATTCCGGGTGGAACATACATCTCCCGAGCATAATGGTTGAAACCCATAAAGGGACCTTGTGGTAGTTCTCGGGATTCAGAAAGGTCAGCGGGCTGGGTTGAACGGCGGGGACTTCTGCTGCGAGCCCGCTCTTGCCCTTGTGCATTGACAACTTGTTCGTGTCTATCCCGGTATGGGTTCGCGCGATCAGCGGCACTCCTGAGCTGTGCTCCCCGGTTGGGGTCATACACAGGGTGTGTTGCATTTGTGCTGGTGAAACGAGGAACAAGTGATTGTGGTGGGCTGTATCGCTGGAGAGGAGTCGGCGGTGGGGTGGAATCCATTGTTCCCATGTGTATCAATGGAGAAGTAAGTGGAGGAGAGAGAAGTAGCGACAACGACGGGGTTCCCTGGTGGAGTGTTTGACCGGAGCGTCTGGGGCTAATACTTCAATTAGCTGATATCCTCACAAACCATGATGCTCTTGACACATAAGAGGTAGGTTCTAGATATATTAGGATTGGGTACTCGGGAAATAATGGGCAATGTCAAGAGATATATGGTATGCTTACGTCGAAACCTGTTGGTTTCCCTGGGCAGTAGTGCTAGGCCTGAGCTCTGCAAGTCAGTAAATTATCTCAAGGTAAAGGCAGGAGACATGTAAATCAACAAGTTACTGGGGAAGGAAGAGGAAGAATGACTTATGATACCGGGGTATATATACATACATTTTGGCGTCCTCATCGAGGTGGCCCCGATCGCCTTGGAAATCAGGGCCTTGATATTGCATGCTGGATGGAAGTTATGAGAGACAATGATAGAAGATAGGAGAGTGGAGTTTTGAAAACGGACGTGATGAATTCTGATGGCAAAGCCCGTTGTCGATGATGCACCAGCTGTCTGATAGTATGAAAGGTTTCAGGTGTTGATGGAAAACAGTGTGAGGATAGGATAGAGGAGGAGGAGGAGAAGTACTAGAATAGGATGGCCTTTTATAAGTTTGCAGGAAATTGCCTACAATGTTTGTACTTGATCGAGTTCAGATGGCTTTTCCTCTTTATTGGATATCCTCATCCCAGTGTCTAAAAGTGTGGGCCTGCACATCGCGTGTGCTCTTAGTTGGCGAGGTAGCTGTAGTAACCAGGTCTCTAGAATCGTTTCCTTGGGCATGATGGTGGTTATATCTATCTCGCATAGAGACATGATCTAGGGCATTGGTTTCAGATTCAATGATGATCATTAGGGTCTAACAAAGTGTAAAAGTAATGTTGATGGCTCATGGCCTGGGCCTCAGATCTACATAGACCACAACATGTCTGGTAGCTAGAGTTGTTGGAATACAACTGGAGAAAGCAGGCTACCAGGAAAACTATATAGGCAATGTTGAGGACTACTCTCAGACCACCAAGCAACTACGGTGAACTTGTCAAACATAGTCTCATGTCTATAGAAGCATCTAGTAGGGTTCAAGGGGGGCTTTAAGAGGTATCATTGGCAATTCGTGTTATGGGTACATCAAAAACTATACCCTCCGTAAATCAAATCCATAACGCCATCTTCGTCGGATATCAAGAGCGATGCAGTCTGAAAGCAAAAGTTGAAGAGAACCAGGGAATAGGCCCAAAAATCATAGTACATCAGTCATCCATTAATTCAAAAAATCGTTTCATCTAGCGTAGCCAATCGATGCCGGTTGTCTTGGTACGTACTTTCGGACAGCCCCCCGGCCAGGGCTGCACGCCGCAGAGCCGATGTCGATCGTACTCAGCTCTCGACTCAAGGCATCCATGCGGACATTTCCATTTGGATTGCCAGACATGACGGGGTAGCTTGGGTTTCCTGCGGTGATTGGCACCTTGTTTGGAATCGGGGGGCCTGGGGTATAGTCATATAGTGGCGTACGGGACCCCGGTGATGGCGAGACTGATCCTCGGGAAGAGCGCGGCCGCTCAGCCGATGTGGGTGTGCTGTAACCCCGTTGCACATAGCTGTCAGAGCGCTCACGCCCGTAGTCCGGCCGAGGTGAAGTTCGAACCATTGCCCCCGGACTTGCGTTCACATGAGTGGGTGTGTACTTGACTGGGCGATCCGACGGGTAGGTAGTAGTCTCTGCCCTGAATCCGACGCGTGGAGGGCCTGTGCTGCGTGGCGTAGAAGAGTCGTTGCCTCTAGAAGTTGGTCGAGGCGAATGTTTGAAGCGGATAATAACCTCGGGTTTGCGGTTCTTCCTTTCTGGTTCGGGCGCCCATGTATCAGTGGGAAGATGGTCAGAGGGATCAATCTCGCGACCATCATCCCCAATGATTGGGTGGTCCAGGTCTCGATGGGGTTCAGTCTTTCCACGTATCACGGCATCTCTGGCCTGTGAAGGCGAGTCGTATGCTGGGGAAGGATCTCGGCTAGGAGCGTGAGAGGCATTTGGGTTTAGAGAGATGTAGGAGTCTGGAGAGAAAGGGATTGAAGAACCCTCACGGACGTCCGAAGAAGAGGGCCGTGGGCTGACTGATTTCCGGGTCACAGCCCGCATATCAGGGCTCACAGATTCACCTCTACTAGAAGTAGGTCTTTGCTCAATAGGTCGGGGGGATGTTCGCAGAGGGTAGACAGGAGTATCGTAGTGGACGGGTGCTGATACGGGGACTGGCACAGGCGGCTGGGAAATCATCATCTCGTCTTCCCAGTGGTTGCTGCGTCTGTTGGTTGATCGTTCGAGGGCCGTTCTCTCAGATGAGTCTTCCGCTTCATAACCTGCGACGAGGCTTGCGGGCATGGCTGGTGAATTCCCCATCGAAGAAGGGTCTTGATAGAGATCGCGGTGGGACGGGGTGGACATGCTTGATGGGAGGTGGGAGACCGAGGATCGAGAAGCAGAATGGTGCGTGTATGGTGCATACGGGTGAGGCGAGGTTTTCGGGGTGGGCAGCTGAGAGGGCGCCCGTCGTGACCGGTGTACCGGTGGAGGAGGTGGGGGCCCGTCGTCATCTTCATCCTCTACTCGTGGTTGCATCCCGGCGTATTCTGGATGGTAATCGTGGGCTCGAGCAGTGATCTGTAGAGGTTGAACTCTGTGTGGATAGTACCTCGGGTCATCCACTGGCCCCGAGGAGGAAGGTACAAAGTCTGGAGCTGGCAACTCGTGTGCATGCGTTGGCCCATATGACATAGGACCTAGATCATATCGGGGCTGCTCTATTTGAGCGTGAGGATCTTGATGTGGGGAATGGTATGGCGCTTCCTCACGGGGATCTGCCTCGTACTGATCTTGCCTGGCAATGCGATAGTCTCTCGAAGGTGGTTGGTCATACTCGGGATAATTCCGCTGTTGCTGTTGCTGCTGTTGCTGCTGCTGCTGTAATTGTTGTAGTTGTATTTGTTGCTGCTGTTGTAACTGTTGCTGTTGTAGTTGCTGTTGTTGCTGCTGCTGTAGCTGTTGTTGTTGGAGCTGCTGTTGCTGTAACTTTTGTTGTTGTTGCTGCTGCTCTTGGTGTTGCTGCTGCTGCTGCTGTTGTTGCAGTAGACGCGCGTCGTAGGGTGTTTCAATCAGTTCATTCGAGGGCAGTTCATGGGTGACTTGTCGGCGGAGAGGAGCAACAGCTGGGCTGTCCCATTCTTGCATGTAGTTATCAGCACCATCATACCCACCCCGAGATGGAGGCGGGATAGGAGAAGGTGCGCGATAAGATGATGCATCGTAAGCAGGTTCTGAATGGCTCGGGGCATAGGCTATGGTGTCCGGTGCACCAGACACGGTGTTTGAATGTTCAGGAATGGCGGGTCTCGACGGGACCGGGTGGTGAATCGGAGGCGCCGAGTGAGCTTGCTCGGGAGGAGCTGGTCTTGCTGGTGCCCCTGCAGGGCCACTGGGCAAGGGTCGTCGCTTGACGTCTTTCAATTGCCGGGGACCAGACAAGCCTGTGCTGCTTGGAGTACTGGGGATTTTGCCTTGCACCCGGTCAGCGGCTTCTTTCCGGCGTCCAATCAGAACCTCATCTTGCTCTCTGGTATCGTAGTAGGTCATTTCAATTCGGATCTCTCCTGCATACTTCCCACGCCATTGAAGTGGGTGCCAGTGATCATTCTGGCTTCCACCCGGAATGATCAAGCTTTGTAAATCGACCCAAGTTTCGCCGATCATATCGGTCTTCTTATCGTCATTGAATACGGAGACCTTTAGCTTGAAGTAATCGGGAGATTCATGCACAGTAAATCGAAGTTCCGAGTCCCTAGGCAAGTAAGCTTCAATTTACACATCAGGCCAAAGGTGGCTTACCATCTGGGAGTTTGTCCTCCTCGCAAATCTGTTTGTGTTTTCTTTGCTTCCTTGCCCAATCGTGCTGCAACATAGGGATTCTGTTTGCCCATAGTCTTCCGATTGGGTAGGTTCTTGGCTCGGTCGATGATAGCGACCAAGGTACCGATAACGGGGCCATCGACGGAGATGTCAGCGAAAATGCCCGCCGCATGGTTGACCTTGGAGATCTTCGACATGGTCTCTGTCAGGTATAATGGATATAAACAGAAACTAAGTGGGAGAGGAAGAAGAGAAGAGAAAAGATAAGAGAAGTACTGTATTGGAGGTGGCTGGGGGGTTTCCAACTTTGGATGGTCTGTATCAAATTCTGAATGTTGATTGGTTCTTACCCCTGACTAGTGGGGATTTATCATACCATGGATACAAGAACCTTGCATCGGAACTTGAAACATTTTGCTCTCTCTACTCTGCAGAATACTATACATATTACTCCTTCATATGGTCTTGCTATGCACTGAATATCCTATATAATTACAATATATCAAGTACTTACTCCGTACAGGATGCCATTAAACCCCTCTTTATCCAACCTCAATCAGGTATTCCACATGTGGATCGTTCTCAGCTCGATCGGATCCCCAGCCACCGATTCAAAGACTTCCAAGGTTGTGCATTCCTGGTGGAACAAGCCTAAACTACCGACCAGCGGTCTAGACAGGATCATCATCCCGGTACTCCGTACTCGTGTTTGCGAATCCAGTTTCAGCTGCATTGGGGCTTCAATAAGCTGTCAGGCCATCGCGGCTCCCCCCACCTTTGGGGTTAGAGAGCTGCACCACGATGGATCTCCGTTCCCCCCACTGAATTGCCATAGCGACCACTCACAGGCCTAATGATCCTGTGTATATGGAGTAACATGTGTTGTATTCTGGGTATACACTTTTTTTTTTTTTTTACTGTATCTCGTACATTGGCAATATTACTGAGACTGTCTTCGGCTGCTCTGCACATCTCATCCCCTACTGATTCGAGATGTTTTGAGGATTAACGATGTTGCCTGCCTCACTGCCTCAGTGGATTCACTAGGCTATCCCCGCCAGGTCACTATTATTAACATTACAAGACGGTCAAAATGTGGAAGCCTAAGTGTGACAAAGTATAACGTAGATCCATCGAATTTCAGTTTTATCTTCGGAGTCAACAAGGCAATAATATTAGGCTTACTCGAGGGAAGATCCCCCAAGGCTGATCGACCATGATGGAGTTGGGACATATAAGAGCATGTACCCATACTCCGTACAGGATGGATTACCCGAGATAAAATTCGTCACCTGTCAATTAGGAATATTATGGAGGTTGTCTGCCGAGGAAAGCTGCATGTCCCCTGCAGAGTATGGTGCTTGTAGTGTAATGGAATTCAGAGGTGGAAAACTTTCAATGGCTTGAATCCGAACTAAAAGTATCAGCCTGGAGATATCTGATAGATTTCTTTGTTACGGAGTACATTGGACTCAATTCATGTGGGTCCAGTCTAGACTCTCTATGTTCAATGTTGTCAGTTGTACGGAGTTCTCCGTCCTGCTGATGCACAATGATGTCCTGACTATTACAGGGTGGATATGCCAAGACTCAAATTTTGCCTTGTGGCCTCAGGCGGAAATACACAATTTGATGCCTCAGGCGGAAACAGCTACCGCCACCATTCCCGATTGGGCGAGACGAACTTTTTTGATCGGCAGAAAAAAGATGGTCTTCATGAACTTCACGATAGCACTCTAGTTGGCTCGAATTTACCACCCATTGCCCATTCGAGTTTATCTACCTAACTAATATTCCCCGAACAACTACTGTCTATCCACCCCTGCAATCATGGCGGCGCCCGTCCTGCCTCTGCAGCAGGTCAAGCTTGCCTCGTTACCCTCGACGCAGTTAACGCCTGAGCAACAATACTGGCGAACATTCAAAAACCCGCTCCTGATTCCATCACCGGCCAATGGACCGGTGAATCTCATCACTCAGCCTTCCGTTCCTTCCTCTGCCGCGGCATTCCCATCTCTCACACAACCGCCCGATGTCTTCACCGTGACAACGGGTGCACGAGTCCAGATTTATTCGATTCGCACACGGAAACTTCTACGAACACTCACACGGTTTGATGATACCGTGCGTGGTACTGATGTTCGTGCGGATGGACGTGTCTTAGTGGCAGGTGACGACACCGGTTCCGTGCAAGTTTTCGATGTCAAGTCGCGCGCCATCCTTAAGACGTGGAAGGACCACAAGCAACCCGTGTGGGTGACCAAGTTCTCTCCCAGTGACCCTACAGCGGTTCTCACAGCCAGTGATGACCGTACAGTGCGGCTGTGGGACTTGCCATCCCAAACTAGTGCGCGCACCTTTGTCGGCCACACCGATTACGTGCGCAGCGGTGCATTCATGCCTGGCTCCATGGCTTCTTCTGGCCTTGTGGTTTCGGGGTCTTACGATCGTACTGTTCGACTGTGGGACCCTCGAGTTGGGAACCGTGCCGCTATGATATTCAAGATGGGCGCACCCATCGAGACTGTTCTGCCCATGCCGGCCGGAACTACAGTTCTGGCCGCAGCCGACAACAAGATTGCGGTTCTGGATATTGTGGCTGGTAAGCCGCTGCATATGATCCAGAGCCATCAAAAGACCGTCACTGCCCTTGCACTGGCATCCAATGGGGAGCGCTTGCTCAGTGGTGCGCTCGATGGACACATGAAGGTGTTTGAGACCACAGGGTGGAACCCCGTATCCGGATCCAAATACCCGTCGCCCATTCTCTCTCTGCGCGCGATTACTTCTGGAACCGAATACGAGGATAAGCACATTGCTGTCGGTATGCAGTCAGGTCTTCTGTCTATCAAGACCCGACTGTCTGGCCAACAGAAGATTAAGGAGCGTGAACGCCGGAAGGAAATGGCAGCCTTGCTGGAGGGTAAATTGGAGGAGCATGACCGGGAAGTCGCTAAGAAGAAGAAGACTCGTGGCTCGGGATGGGAGAAGCGTCTGCGTGGACGCGATTTCATTGGAGAAGGTGTAGAGATTGTCATTCAGGGCCAGGACCAGAAGAAGCGGAAGAGAGAGCAACCTTGGGAGACCGATCTCCGTAAGGCACGCTACGCTGTTGCATTGGACCAGGTCCTCACCTCGGCTGACAAGACTGCGCAACTTACACTGCTTACGGCCCTGCGCCATCGCTCCGCCCTCCGCGCCTCGCTGAAGGACCGCGATGAGGTCACCCTCCAACCCGTCCTGCAGTGGGTTCACAAGAACATCCGTGAACCCCGCCTGGTCGATCTCAGCGTCGAGGTCGCCATGAACCTTCTCGATATATACTCTGGAAACCTAGGCCAGTCCGCACAAGTCGACAAGATGGTCGAGCGTCTGCACCGCCGGGTGCGTGACGAAGTGGAGATGGCCCAACAAGCGTGGCAAACAAAGGGAATGCTTGACATGTTGAAGGCAACCTGATCTGACGGCCTTGAATCGCAACTTGGAGTTCGGGGTGTCTGGGATTCGCACACTCGGTGTATATGGCGGGCCATCTTTTGTACAGGATTTGCATAAAGAATAAAAGTCGAATATTTACCATCATTTACCATAAGATCGTTCATTCGTATTCTAACTACGTATCAAGTATTCAACTTTGAGAACCCACCAGCAGGCGGCTGTAACCAATTCCGCGTATCATACTCCCACCCTTCTGCCCCCTCGATAACATGGAAGGTATAGGCATACCGACTATTTAGGCTGGTGTTCTTCTCGCTCTTATGCAACACATTCCCATGAATGAGCACAAGCGATCCAGCCTTGATATCAAGAATCTCTAAATCCTCATCTGTAGTCTCCGAACTCTTCTCCTCTTCCATGTCTTTCGGGAGCGAAGGGCCCCGATTCTCAATAAATTCGGTCCCTGTCCCATTCTGCTTCCTCACGAACCTCCTAGCAATGTGACCACCCTTCCTTCCAGTATGCGACCCCTTGTACATACCCAATGTTCCATTCGCCGGTCCCGCAGGCTGCAATGCGTACCACCAGCCTACGGCAGAAGGCGGATTTGTGTACAAAAACTCCGAATCGCGATGGGACGGCACAGCCCCACCAATCGACGGCTGCTTGCAGATAACCATACTCTGCAGCACGCGGGGATCGGCGAAGCCCAGGGACCGTGCGACGGCAGCGTTCCGCTCGTTCAACGATATGGCTTTGAAGGGTGGCGACAAGGTATGCAGCGAATGACCGATCTTGTTGACAGCGCGGTTTTTGGGTTTCAGCAGCGTGGCTCGGCCGGTTAAGGGATCGGGTTCGGTGCCGAATGCATCTGGCTCAAAAAAGAAGCGAATTTTGTCACCTGAGTTCAGGAAGTAGTCGTCGCCTACATGGTCGGCGGTTTCGTCGCCTGTTGTGAACTGGGTGAGGGGGTGGGATTCGAGTGGGAACTCCTCAAGAAGTTTGTTTGTCTCAGCGAGGAGAGCAGCGACCTCATCTGGGGTGAGGTAGTCGGGGAGGACGAGGTACCCGTTCTCCTTGAAGGAGGCAACTTGATCTGCGGTAAGTCCAGCCATGAGGTGCTTTATTGTTCCAGAGATGGAGATGAGTTGGTTTGGATGTTGAAAAGCGGGGAGCCGATAAGCGATTTCGATACGCCTGCCTTATCTGGGGCTTCGTCCGTGCACGCGGCATCTATGGTCTATGGACAACGCCTACACGTTCAATATATGCTCTGTTTCCCCGGCTCAGTTCCTGGGGTATCTCCAGACCCCTCGACGACATCAATGGGTCTTTGCCTCTTCCATAGAGGTTAATTGCCGCAGGAGGCAATGATGCAAGGGGCAAGTAAAGCTTGCCACAATACAAGACGAACGAACTATATAAACATATTGAAAGTTTGAACTTTGAAAAGCAACAAGGACAACTTGCATAGTATCGATGCCCAAATTTCACGCGACGCAACTACAAGTGAACCAACATTTAAAGGCCTAAAAGGTTTAGTATCATCCTTCCATTGACCTAACTGAACAAACTCAACTGCAAATTATTCCAAGTGGACCAGATCAACATTTTCCTTTCCCATATCCCACCGAGCGCGACTGTTCACCACGATGTCCGACTCTTTCACAAGTTCCTCGTACTACTACAGTTCCACAACCAACGGCAGCGACGGCAAAACTACAACCGGACACAGGTATTCAACAACTTCATACACCGAACCGGACGGCACAACAATCGTACGTACCGCCCAACAAAATTTAGGCCAACCAGCAGTCGTTGAAGAGCGGCGCTACGACAACACAGGACAGGAACAGCTGGCTTTACCAGAGCCCGCAGGTGGTACTTCTGCAGGTGGAATACGGCGCATCACCGATCTAGAAGATGATGTTTCGGATTCCAAAAATTCCCCATCCCAAAATAAAAGTTCCACACCCAATGTCCTTGCTGATATTGGTGGTTCGGCGGCTCAACTCTTGGATGGGGCCAGCGAGGACGATTCGTTTAATATGGCTTCTTCGGCGCTGGGGTCTAGGGTTTATGACCCCGTGACTGGCTCTTATAACGACCCATCCGAGTATGATATCGGTGGTGTAACCAGGCGTCATAGGGATATGAGGAATGATGGTGGCCGGAGGCTCGGACGGGATGTGGATTTCGCTGGGGATGGCCTCTCGTCTACAGCGCGGGAGAACCGTGCGTATGAGAATCCTAATACAGGCACTAGACTGCGGAGAGAGAGTGATATGGACGTTAGGAATGTACTCTAGGGTGAGTGGATTGGCAAGTATTTCCATTTATTTATGGTAGGTATATGCAATTGCTTCTTGCTATATAAAATCAAAAAATGATATACCTGGGAGTTCTTCATGCATATGTTGTGAAAGATACCAGGAGATTATAAACCCACTTTTCTACCACAATGTATGTATATCTAGTCACTTAGACGTAAACGTCCCTCTGACCAGCGGCTACGCGCCTTCTCCCACCATCCTGGGATCTCGTAAGACCAGTGGCAAAGCATACCAGCAATAAAACCGACAGCATCATTTTTGAACCCTACTAGCAAACCCACAGTAACCATCATGACAGTCCAGCGGCGATTGCGTTCTTCGTCTGAGAGGACAGGGCCAATATGCTCTCCCGTATTTGACAAAAGGCCAGTACAGGCCTGGCTGAGATCTTGAGCACCACTAGTGTTGAGGCTTTCGCCCACGCTAAGCAGTTGCGCGCCAGCCGCAATAACCATCACACCAAGTAATGCAGCCGGGAACTGCTTCAGAAGGTCAACCAAGGTCTCCCCGAAGATAAGGCCGATAATTAATTTCAACAGGCCGAGGAAGATGACACTTGCTCCTGAGCGAGCTCCGAAGCGATATTGCGCGGCAAGGCCACCGGATCCATGGCAGACGGGCATAGCACCGAACCAACAACCAATTAAGTTCATGCCGGCCACGCTCAGCCCGATGTGGGTGATAGACGGAGTGCGCACTTTCGGCAGCAGATCATGCGCCAAGTGAACAACGGCCACGATAGAGTTGAGGGTGGTAAGAGGAATTTGACCGATACCAGCATCCACAGCACCGACGCGCCATTGAAGCGGGGTCGGAATTAGAGCGAAAGGATGCCACAACTCAAAACTAGGCATATGTCCCGCCAGAGCAGTCCGAATAATAGCAAAGATCAGACCCAGCACTAATACAGCGATCGCATAAGGGACCCGGCGATAAATATTGGTGAGCAGAAGTACAACAAATGCAGCAACTGCCCAGATACGGTTATCGGCCCAGGAAGGGCTGATCCATCCCAAGGGATGGAGCATGCTGCTGCAAGCGGCGATAACCAGGGATAATCCCGCTCCAACTTGGATACCCTTGATAACTGGAATGGGAATTACATTGGCGAACCAGTGCAAGATCCCCGTCAAGCTGAAGACAAGGATACAGGCGCCGACGAAGATCCCCGCCGCAGCGATCGTGCCATTTGAGAAACTACGCGCGATGGCCACTGCGGCGATGGCCTTCATGGGCTGAACGGGTAATGGAATACCGAAGAACACCCCCGTTAAAATATTGAAAATTCCCGAGAAGATCAATGTGCTGGCGAGGGAGACAGTGCCGTTGATAGCTAGCGCAATCGCGATAGGCAGGAACGTGCCTAGATCGCCAAGCGAGCCAGAGATCTCGGAGACATAGTGGCGCTTGAAAGTGCGCAGATTATAAGCGTTGATTTCGCGCAATGACTGGATAGCCATGGTGGGATGAGAGTTGAAGAAGAAGAGAGGGGGTTTCGTATTGCTTTCCATGTTGGACCCGGTCCACCCCCGCTGATCTCAAAGAATCCTGTTTCAACTTGGAATTTACAATCTGACTTGATTTATTGATCTAAATGTAATTCATTGTCGAGATTCTGGATTATTTACACTCAGCATCCAAAATAGCCTATATTATACCATTTTCTATGCTTCGATGACTCAATTTCGCCCCAAAAATATCATTTCGTAGCAACTACCAAATTTGTTTTGTCTCTCAATAGTAGGTACTCTAGTTGGTAAAAAATGTATACTTGTGGGTAACAGGGACTAATCTTCAATAATTGGAAAAAATCTATCTCATGGCCAGGTCGTGACTATTGAAGCCTAAGCAGCTTACTAACAATCCCGCCAGTTTTGAAGTGTGCATGAGTAAAGTTGACGTGATACCTCGTTATATATATATCTACTAGTCACCATCGGAAGTGTAAATTCGGCTACCACATGTGGATAAAAGATCCAATGGAAGGATACCAATGAACTGAATACCTGGTTGGCACATGCCACTGATGAACAAGGAATCTTCCAAGTCGGAACGCGCGTACTTGAGGTCTTCACATATTTGCAGGTTTGCCCTAGTACATTCCTATTTGGGAAGCGCGTGGGAACCTAGCTGATAGCTAGCTCTCCACTTTGCCAATCTTACTTCCACCGTGGCATCGCAAAGCGACTCGGACGGCAACAGCTTTTTGCTAGCTGCTGTGTATAAGGTATTTTTGGTTGCATCTTCAATTGATTGAATTACATTCTCATCCCCGGTTCTCATTCCTCATCCCTCGTCACTATTCTTACCCTCATCATGTCTTCCTCTACTCCGTACCAGCGACTGAACCGAATCCAAGCTTTTCTTCTTCCAGAATTTTGCCTAGTACTAGCTGTGTCAATAGCACAGTCGACCTCGACATCAAGCGACTAAATGGGCTTGTTACACCAAGCCTCTCGAATGACGATATATCGACACTTAATCTGGATATTGCCAAGGTTTGTTGGTTTGCAACTCCAACAACCACACCCTTGATTTTGATTTACCATGTAGATGCAAATACACTAATCTTTCCTGGTGCTATATCTTTAAATCAGAATACCTATGAGGGCACAGTTGAATTTAAAATACTAAAAGAGAACCATGGAAGGAAGTGGATAGCTGTACTCATTGGCATGTGATAGCATGTGATTGCATGTGATCAGATGCAAATTCCAACGTCTCTATCCATTTTTACGCGATGTTACTGGTAGACCTTGGAATTACCATAGATGTTGAATTTGGCTCTTGTTGAGCATATAAAGCTGATTAGTTGAGTCATAGACCATTGGGAGACTAACGGTCAATAGTTACATATTTACCTCTAAAAACATCTATTTATATAGTACGCGTGGGGCTGTAGATAGCCCTAGGTCAATAGTCTATTGATAACACTATTTCGCTATTTTGTGGGAACCAAAACAAATAGGGGCAGGGGCTAGACACAAAAGATGACTAGGGTAATCTGCGCCCCACCTCGGGCACCTCTAGGGCTGGGCACCTGGGCAGGGCTGTAGGGTTAGGTACCGGAGTAAACATACGGAGTAAACATGCGGACCAAAACCGATAAACACACGCAAAGCCATGGGGCAGATCCGAAGATCCGGCACGGGATTGTATAACTCTTCCGAAAAGTACTTTTGTCAAGAATTTTAAATGCCCGAAATCTCTAAAAATGCCCTTAAAAATAAAAATTTAGAAGAAACACAGTGGAGACGGAAGTTGAGAATTAGGCCCGATTTATGTACGTTATACCGTTGTCCCGGATGGCGGATAGTGTGTATCGGCCCACGGAAGTCCCTACACAAGGGTTGCCGGTGCTCGGGATCTTCATTTCCCGTTTCAGGCGGCTCCTCCAGGGCTGGAAAGCTCCGCTGACTCAGCGCATATTCATAAGGTAAAGTTTAGGCAGACTTGTTAAAGGACATTAATGAGATGAGATCGATTTTATGCTCAAGATCCATCGAATCATCGCCTTGGGATTTTAGTAGGGTACTCCATATATAAAAACCTTGAAATTATTCAATTGCTCCGACCGCCGACTCCGACCCACAGGTTCCATTAGAAAGATGTCATCACCGGAAATGGCCACAAAGCCGAGACCTTTTAAGTATCTGATCATTCCCCCCCCCCATCCTTTGAATAATGTAGAATATTTTGTTATTAAATTATCTGGATATACCTTCTCGCTATGGCGTCGGAGACAAGCTCAGTTGAGCCGAGGGAGATGCATGAGATGCATGAACCATCTCCACCTCATACTGGGGACGCATCAACTCTCAACGACTCTCCCATGGCATTAATCGACCAAGAAGATGTTAATACTCTTACCAAGATAGCCACTCAACGATCACGCCAACAATCTGTCGGAGCCACAAATAACCTAGCAGTTCTCGCTCAACAAGACCCATCTCTGGACCCCCAGTCTGGAAAATTCGACTTGCAAAAATGGCTCAAAGCGGCTTTCGACGATATCAGCCGGGATGGCCGATCGGGACAATCATCGGATGTTATTTTCAAAAAGCTGAATGTATATGGATCGGGCGCTGCGCTGCAGTTCCAAAATACAGTCACATCGAGCCTGACTGCCCTCGTTCGATTGCCCCAAATTATTCGTGAATCACACTCTCCTCAAAGACGAATTCTCAAGGACTTCAATGGCCTCTTGAAAAGTGGTGAACTGTTGCTTGTGCTTGGTCGGCCAGGTGCCGGCTGTAGTACACTTCTAAAGTCCATGACTGGAGAACTACACGGTTTGAATATGGATAAGGAGAGTGTCATTCATTACAATGGTAAGATTTGAGCTCCAGCATTCTTAAAATAGAGCTAACAATCCCTAGGAATTCCCCAATCTCGCATGATGAAAGAGTTCAAGGGTGAACTAGTATACAACCAAGAGGTACACTCCCAATATCGACCGCACCAATCACACCAATAAAGCCATGCTAACTTTTCAAATGTACAGGTTGACAGACACTTCCCTCATCTGACCGTCGGCCAGACTCTGGAGTTTGCAGCAGCAACGCGAACTCCTGCCCATCGGTTCCAAGACATGTCACGCGCAGAATATGCCAAATATATGGCTCAGATCATCATGGCTGTCTTTGGACTGAGTCACACATATAACACCCGCGTTGGAGACGATTTCATCCGTGGTGTATCGGGTGGTGAGCGAAAGCGTGTCAGTATTGCAGAGATGGCTCTAGCCCATGCTCCAATCGCCGCCTGGGATAACTCTACTCGAGGATTGGATTCTGCCACGGCATTGAAGTTTGTTCAGGCTTTGCGACTGTCCTCTGACATCACTGGCTCGTGTCATGCGGTGGCTGCTTACCAGGCAAGTCAAAGCATCTACGATGTATTTGACAAGGTGATCGTACTTTACGAAGGACGCCAAATTTTCTTCGGACCTGCCGCCGCAGCCAAGTCCTATTTCGAAAACCAAGGGTGGGATTGTCCAACTCGTCAGACTACTGGTGATTTCCTCACTTCAATCTCAAATCCTGAGGAGCGGCAAGCCAAGCCCGGCATGGAAAACCGTGTTCCCCGTACGCCTGAGGACTTTGAAACTGCATGGCTCAACTCGCCTGAATACAAGCAATTGATGAGTGAAATTACTGAATATGAAGGGCAAAATCCCGTTGGAAACGATGTACCAGCCCTCGCTGATTTCCAGGAATGGAAGCGTGGAGCCCAGGCCAAACACACACGGCCCAAGTCTCCATACATCATCAGTGTTCCTATGCAAATCAAACTCAACACTGTCCGCGCCTATCAACGACTCTGGAATGATGCTGCTTCAACCGTCTCTACCATCGTTACTAATATTATCATGGCTTTGATTATTGGATCAGTGTTCTACGGGACTCCAGATGCAACTGCAGGCTTTACGTCCAAAGGTGCCACTCTGTTCTTTGCCGTCCTTCTCAATGCCCTCACAGCAATGTCCGAAATCAACAGTCTCTATTCTCAACGTCCAATTGTCGAAAAACATGCTTCCTTTGCCTTCTATCACCCCTTCACTGAAGCCATCGCTGGTGTACTCAGTGATATACCGGTGAAGTTTGCATTGGCTGTTGTGTTCAATATCATTCTATACTTCATGGCTGGTCTGAAACGATCAGCATCTAACTTCTTCCTCTACTTCCTCATCACTTTTGTGATCACGTTTGTCATGAGTGCCATCTTCCGGACATTGGCCGCTGTCACCAAAACTATTTCGCAAGCAATGGGTCTGGCAGGTGTCATGATTCTGGTCCTTGTTGTCTACACTGGCTTTGTATTACCTGTTCCGTCTATGCATCCGTGGTTCGAATGGATCCATTACCTCAATCCGATCTACTACGCCTTCGAGGTTCTGATTGCCAACGAGTTCCATGGCCGCGAGTTCCCATGTTCATCCTTTGTTCCTGCCTACGCCGACCTATCAGGCAAAGCATTCAGTTGCGCTATCGCTGGTGCGGAGCCAGGCTCTACAACAGTCAACGGTGACCGATACATTTTACTGGCTTACTCTTACAGTTACAGCCATGTCTGGCGTAACTTTGGTATCCTCATGGCCTTCTTGGTCGGTTTTATGTGCATCTACTTTGTCGCAACCGAGCTAAATTCCGCTACTACAAGCACTGCTGAAGCTTTGGTTTTCCGCCGCGGTCACGAGCCTGCCAGTCTCCGCCAGGATCATAAGTCTGGATCCGATGTCGAAAGCAACGAGACATCCAAAGCTCAGCCTGCTGCGGGTACAGATGACAAGGGAATGGGTGCTATTCAGCCTCAGACAGATACATTCACTTGGCGGGATGTGTCCTATGATATCGAGATCAAGGGCGAGCCACGTCGTCTTTTGGATCACGTTTCCGGATGGGTCAAGCCTGGAACCCTGACTGCACTAATGGGTGTCAGTGGCGCTGGTAAGACGACTTTGCTTGATGTATTGGCACACCGTACATCGATGGGTGTTATCACTGGTGATATGTTTGTCAATGGCCGTGAACTGGATCAGAGTTTCCAGCGAAAGACAGGTTATGTTCAGCAGCAGGACCTTCACCTCGATACTGCTACTGTGCGCGAGTCTCTGCGGTTCAGTGCTATGTTACGTCAGCCAGCCTCTGTCTCGATTGAGGAGAAGTACGCCTATGTTGAAGACGTTATCGGAATGTTGAAGATGGAGGAGTTTGCCGAAGCCATTGTTGGTGTCCCCGGTGAGGGTCTGAATGTCGAGCAGCGCAAGCTGCTGACTATCGGCGTCGAATTGGCTGCCAAACCCAAGCTGCTGCTCTTTTTGGATGAGCCTACCAGGTAACTACCATTTGCAAAATATGCCTGTGCCTTTCAGATACTAACTATTTTTTTTAGTGGTCTCGACTCTCAGAGCTCTTGGGCTATTTGTTCATTCCTTCGCAGGCTTGCTGAGCACGGTCAAGCAGTTCTTTGCACAATCCATCAACCTTCTGCCATGCTCTTCCAACAATTCGATCAGCTATTATTCCTTGCCCGAGGCGGTAAGACTGTCTACTTTGGTCCCGTCGGAGAAAACTCTGGCACAATGCTTGAGTACTTCGAATCCAACGGTGCGCGTAAGTGTGCGGATAGCGAGAACCCAGCCGAATACATGCTGGGCATCGTCAACGCTGGTCAGAACAACAAGGGTCAGGACTGGTTCGATGTTTGGAAGGAAAGTAACGAAAGCAAGCAAGTCCAGGCTGAGCTCGACCGAATTCATAAAGAAAAGGAGCACGAACCGCCTGCCACTGATGATTCCTCGCGAAGCTACTCTGAATTTGCCATGCCGTTTTGGTTCCAGTTGAACCAGGTCACACACCGCGTGTTCCAACAATACTGGCGCATGCCATCCTACGTCCTGGCTAAATGGGGACTTGGAATTGCCTCCGGTCTGTTTATTGGGTTCTCTTTCTTCGATGCCAAAACCTCGCTGCAAGGCATGCAGACCATCGTTTACTCTCTGTTTATGATTTGTACCATCTTCTCGTCATTGGCGCAACAAATCATGCCTGTGTTCGTCAGTCAGCGATCGCTCTACGAGGGACGTGAACGCCCCAGCAAATCGTACTCCTGGAAAGCTTTCCTCGTCGCAAACATGATTGTGGAGATCCCCTACATGGTCGTCATGGGTGTATTGACCTACGCCTGCTACTTCTATGCCGTCGTTGGAATCCCCAACTCTGTGACCCAGGGAATCGTCCTCCTGTTTTGCATCGTCTTCTTCATCTACGCCAGCACCTTCACCCACATGGTTATTGCCGGTCTTCCAGACGAACAAACCGCCAGTGCGGTAGTTGTCCTTCTCTTCGCGATGTCCCTCACGTTCTGTGGTGTGATGCAGCCCCCAACCGCCCTTCCTGGCTTCTGGATTTTCATGTACCGTGTCTCACCCTTCACATATTGGGTCGGCGGCATGGCAGGCGCACAGCTGCACAATCGCAAGGTGATTTGCTCAACCGCCGAACTAGCCATCTTCAACCCACCCTCTGGTCAAACTTGCGGACAGTACCTCATGAAGTATGCCGAGGTCGCTGGTGGTCAGTTGCTCAATCCCGAGGCTACGAGTGATTGCAGTTACTGTTCTCTCCGAGTTGCGGATCAGTTCCTGGCCACAGCAGGTATCGAATACGGTGATCGCTGGCGCAACTTCGGTATCATGTGGGCTTTCGTTATTTTCAATATCTTCATGGCTACTATCATGTACTACCTTGTCCGCGTGAAGCGCTGGAACAGTGGCGATTTCAAGGAATCGTTCAAGAAACTCATTCCTGGGAAGAAATCCAAGAGTGGCAACTGAATTCTGTCACTGCACCCTTGCTAATATTGTCATTCTTTGTCTATATTTCTTTTTCATTTTGATTTTGTTATTTCTCTCCAATGCCTTCTGGGCCACTCACTGACCTTGCTGTTCATCTCTTTTGCATTTTGTTGATTTGAGTCTTGAGCTACACTGTACAAAGAGAACTTATTGTTATAATCATAGAACTATATATATACCATTACGCGAGAAACTATTTCACATATTCCAAATTTATTCCGACCATGAATAGTATGTATAGCAATATCCACAGTAGGAATCCTCAACCTGAGCTGCTTAATATTCGTCATGGGATACAAGTTTTTGCTTGTCCGATAGATAAGAGTGCCGGGCAAGCAAAACATACTATATAGCTCAGATGAAAACTATGGTATTAACGGTTTTCTAGAAGATTCAAATAAACATGACCGAGGATTGACATTTAATCTGCTTCTCTTATTCTAGTTTGTGTGCTGTTGTCAAGTAAGTGTGGGGGTGCCTTCCAGATTCAGAAGTTGTGGTCCCCCCAGCATATAAATACCCTCACCATCTTACTTTTTCTCCTTCCCTCTTTCTCTCCCTCCGAATTTGCTTGAATTTACATGGGCTTCACCACCAGACTCACCTGGAACGATGGAGGAGGATAACATGCGGGGGCATTCGACAGCAGACTCACCTGTGACGAGCGGCACTGAAGGGGGATGGGCAGCGGGCTGCCACGGTTCAAGATGCCAGTGAGGATACATAAAGAGGAGGATTCTGTTTCTGGTGAGAGAAGTAGGGGGATGCTGCACGGGCGACCGTTTGAGCACATCAGATGCAGGAAGCACACCAGGACTCTTTTCTCGGACACAGTGGGCGTTCGTCTTCTCAAGCCTCGGCGTTCGCTTAAGCAACGGATATAAGGGATCTGATCTTCTGGTGCTGTGGACTCTGGTGAAGTGGGTTCGAGGGAGAAGGCGGGTGGTGGGTCACTTTTTGCTCTGTGATGAATCGGTCTTGATGATGTTTCACATCCATCGGACGTGGCGACACCCTCTGTGGCGGCCGGGCAAGCTTGATCGGAGGCTCGCAATTGACCTTCTGAGAGCAAATCTTGTACTTGATTCTTTTCTCGTGCAGTATCAATATGGGCTTGTGGGTTGTGGGCAATTGACTGATGAGTCCGTCTGTTTGTTTCATTGCACTCAGGCGTGAATGAAGCCTCCACGGTGTGAAACCCTGACAGGCGGCATAGTCTAATATTTTAAGCTATATATTCAATACCCTTTATTCTTTTATCCCAGCACCTCAAAATCCTTGAACTATCAACAAAAATAAAGCATTACGATAACCCTTTGGATCTCTTTTTATAGATCCAAAAGATCGTCGGAAAAGCTTATCTTATCAACGCACAGACCAGCCTTGGAACGGTCCATCGCCTATACCAACGTCAGGGCCGCATTAACACCGCGCATCGAACCAATCGTCTGACAGCCTCCACGGTCTCTACACCCAACATGGACCCAGATACCGGCATCCCCGAACCCGAACCCTCCGTTTTCAACTATGTGCTCTCCTTCCTACTCGTCGGCGTCGCATGGGGCTTCACAACCCCCTTTATCCGCCGCGCAGCGGCAGACTTCAACGCCCGACAAGAGAAGGCAAACAAATCGAACTACTCTGGTCGCGGAAGAGGACACTCACAAGAGCCGGAAACAGTGTTCACGGATGCGGGCGAGGAACAGGAATTGCTCTCTCGGGGCGCACAAGATAGTGACTCCGACGAGGAAGGCGTGCGGAGACGGAGTACGAGCAGCAGTGATGTGAACCGGAAACCGAAGGCTGCTGGTGCCGATACAGGACTGGATGTTGGAATTGCTGGACAGAGTGGAAGTGGCGGTATTTCGGAAGCTAGGGAAGGCAGCGCAGATGAAGAGCAGGATGATCTACCTTCGCCGGCGTGGAGACGGGGAGCCCCTATGAAGCAGTCATGGCTGCGCACCAAGATTGTGTCTATTTTCTGGACAGTTGTGAATCTGCTTCGTACGCCTGCGTATGCGATTCCCTTGGTTATCAACCTCACGGGTAGTATTTGGTTCTTTTTGCTTGTTGGAAAACATGGTAGGTGTCGTTCCTTGGCCTTCTTGGCTTGTGATGCTGTGGCTTTAGGTCTGGAGTCGCTAATCAGTTACTATATAGAACTCTCTTTGACTGTGCCGCTTGCGAACTCTAGTGCGTTTTTATTTACTGTTCTTGGGGAGTGGTATGTTGACCGCAAGGTGATTGCGAAGGAGACATGGTTGGGGATGGGGCTGGTACTTGGAGGAATTGCATTATGTGTGCATTCTAAGAATCAGGCTTCTTGAATTGATTTGAATTTCGGAGTTTGAGTTGATTTATATGGTGTTCGAATATTTGGTGCATGCTGGACACTTATTGGAGTCCAAGCAAATTTTATTGATAGAAATGCAACACTGTATTCACGCACTATTTGAAACCTCACAGAACTAAATCTTGACTGCACAACTCCTGCGATGCCTCGGATTGCTCTACACAAACACTGATTGTTTTAGGAATAATCGAACACACCAAGGTTACTTCTCGAGCTCAATATCTACAGATAGAGTACAAAGATCCCCAACCATGTAAGAAACACAAAGCCCATGAGCCCAAGTGATGCAAAGGCAAGCACATGCAAAGGATGCACCAAGTAGATAAAAAAGAAAAAAAAAATACATAAAACAGATAAGTCACGATGTCATGTCATTCCGCGTGTCACGAAGGACGAAAAGCATATCGCGGGCGAGTCATCAAACATTTTCAGTTGCCATTTCCATTTGCGTACCAGACCGGGCCCGCCGTGGTATTGTAACTGAATCCAGATCCGGATAAAATCAGGGGATATATGAAAACAAAGCATTCCTAGAGGGCGCAAAGAAACAAACTCGTGCTTGAAAGTTCAAATCAAACGCCGCGGAACTAAAATATGAAAGTTAGTATATAATCGACAATGGACAGAAATCGCAGTGCAAGGGATATAACTCACCATACGAACAACCAGATACCACATTGCACCGACAAACTTGAACATTGACAGAGCAGCAACACTCCAGAGAACAACCTCCATGTAGATCATGGAGCGCTCGCTTTGCGCAGTTTCGGTGGTTGTCTTGGATTTGTCCTCGAACGTTTCCAAACCAGCAGCGCTCAGAACAACGGCACCAAGAGCAAAGTTGCAGAATACCCAAGCGAGCACGACGGCACTGCGGAATCCTTTGTAGTAGTCGGCTTGCTTTTCTTCCTCGGAAACATGGGCGATCTCCTTAGGAGCCTTCATAGCGAACTTGGCAATTTCTGCCTCGTATTGCGCATTCAGATCGCCGTCATCTTGCGGAATGTTAACGTCGACCTTGCCGCCGGGTTTAAGGTGCGCGGAGGGCAGCTTTTCGGCCTTGTCATCTCCCTTGGTACCCCATGTAATATCGTGGGTGTTGCAGAATGCATAGATGTTGAGCACGTTGATATAAGTTGGCGTGAGCAAAATGTATTGAATGAACTGGAGGATGTTAGAAGACACAGCACAATTAGATCCATATGATAACTTACACTGGTGAACATGTGCCACGGGTCCAGGAAGATGAACGAGGCGACAAACCACATGACATAGGTCGAGCCAAGCGAGACAATGATAGAAAAGAACGTCTGATTGGTGAATAGTTGATCGACCGAAAAGGTGTTTGAGGCCACTTCTGCTTGGATCGATTTGACGGTGACGAAGACAGCAGCGAATGCAAGGTATATCATGATCACGATCCAGAAATAGACCATGGTCATATAGAACTTGTTGGATCCGCCTGGTCGATTGCCAAGAGCCAAAACGAAGCACGTAACGAGGGTTGCCAGGTATAGCCATTCGAAGACAATGCCTAGAACCTTACCAGCAGTGCCCAGTAGTTCATCTGAGCCCAAGTATGTTGTCAAGATGTGGAAAACCAAGAAGAAGTTACCCTGCGTAAGAAATTAGCATAGAAAACGAAAGGTCCATGGGGGAGAATCGTACAATTCCGAACCACGCGAAGATCATAGAAATTGTCTGATAGACGAACTCAACCATGAGCATAAGCTTGCGAATAAAACTGTGGTCACTGCGGAAGATCTGGTAGAAGTGTGTAATGGCGTAAACCGCGGCGAAGAAACTGCCATTCAGCCAACGACGACGCTGGAGAATGAACTCGGCCATCTGGTCAGGCACGTCGGTTTCGCCAGTCGACGACTTGACGTACTGGAGGAGCCATCGGCACTTCCGTTTGGACACGATCTCGAAACATAAGATTCGATCCTCAGCCAAGTACATGTTGGCCGTGAAGATACCGGCATTAGCGCCGTGCATCTTCTCACCTAGGAAGTAGCGCTCTAGTGGGCCTTGGCCGTTCTTATCGTTTTGGAGTGCGACAAACCGGTAGGCGGAGAAAGCACCAGGTAGCACAGTAATGAAACCAAATGAAGACTCCAGCGGTTTGTCGAGAATGTTACTAAGCTTGTACTCGAAGTTTTGACCAGCCACTAACGGGTTCAGCAGTTTCTTGCCATGAGACAACATGACCTTGATCTCACCACATGCTCCACCGCACATGGGCTCAACGTCGAAGGCCTTCCAGAGGTGATAGATCGAGTCCTTGCCCGGTTTAGTACCCGCATCCAAGAGGACACAGATATTGGGATCCAAAACACGACCGAAAGCTTGGAAGAACCATCTATGAGAGTTGATTTTCTTCTGATTCTTTTCCTTCAGACAGAAAATCAGCTGCACAGGAGGCCCGGATCGAGGCTTGAGATGCACTTGAGTGCCCTTTACCTCTAAACCGACCTGAGTGGTGTACTCGTAGATATGCGCGGTGACGTCCTTGCCGTTGACTTGTTGCTTCGCAATTCCATCCTGGTATACACCCAAACCTGCGAGCACAGCGCGCGTCCGAGGGTTGATCTTGGCACGACCGTCGCTAATAATACAGACAACAATTTTCTTCCACGCATCCTTGCCCCATGTTTTGCTGCTTGTGCGTGAACACATGTGATCGATGTTCTTGAACACACCAGACATAGTGCGCGCGAAAAGGAAGTCATCTTCATTGTACATGGTCACGACGATGAAGAGTTCGGTGTTGCGGGGCTTTGCGAAAAGCTTCTGACGAAGGGTAAACCGCTCTTCGAAGAAATCGGCGGGATCGCATGTCGCTGCCGAATATCGCATGTGTGTGAATTCATCACGACCAGGTGGCTCTGCGTGGGGTACTTGGCTCAGCAGTCTCGGCGCAATGGGGCAATCTAGAACGAGGTTGCCGTTGAAAAGTTGGACTTCTTTCACCGTCTTCCAGCGACGAATAGGCGCTGGACTGGGCGTCGGGTGTGGTTCATCCTGGAACTCAGTATACGGGTCCGGCCCGAAAGGGTTTTCGCCCGTTTCTAGCATAGGCCGGTCATCTTCAAAGGGGGTGTGTCCTCCCTCCGGATAATGACCTAGGTCATAATCATCATGCGGCGTGTGTGTAGGCTGGTAAGGTTGGGTGTAGTAGGCGTCGTGATGGGCTTCGGGGTCAACTGCATACTCTTGACTAGCATAAGGATGGTGTGCGTCGTAGGTGTCATGATGGCCATAAGAGTTGTGAACGTTTTCGACCGAGTACTGATTTCAAAGTAGACTGTTAGTATTGATTTGGACATAGCACCTTTCGCTCTTGTCTCCTCATACTCACAGTAGGTTGTTCGGCCAAACGATCACTAGATGGCATAGGCAGATGCGACTGAGGCCCGTATGGGTTATCCGAGAGCTGGTAGCCAGGTTCCAGTGGTCGCCCTGGGGAAGGGGTGCGATTGCTGTACCCGGTAAGATGGGAGGGATTCAACATGGGCGAGGTATGCTCGTCTCCGAACGGGTCTGTTCGCGGCATTGTTAGTCATGAGACGTAGAAGATTCCTCAATAGAAGCTCAAATGGCAATAGCTTGACTGCGCAAGCTACACTGAGGCTATTTAATCAATGACCAGCACTGATCTGAGTAGTTTCCAAGAGATGGAGAATGCGCGAGCAACATGCAAAAAGAGAAAGAAGGAGGGTCCAATAAGGCTAGAGGAGCACTGACCGGCAGCCACACGATTGTAAGCCATAATGGAGTAGCCTTGGGGGTTTGAAATTATCCCGCCCCAAATTCGTAGTAGGGGTTCTTGGAGATTGCGCCAGGAGCGCCGAGTGGAATATTAAGCGTCAGCGGGGAGGGAACACTAGTCCGATTAACGGATCCAAGTTCTCGGCGTCGTTTCAGATATGAGGGAGAGGATTGCAAGCGAGATTTGATACGTGGGGAGAGTATATGGAATTGTCGCACGACTGCACAGAAGGTGAAGAAGAAGAGCGATCAGAAAAAAAATGTGGAATACGGGTTGCCCTGTTGTTTACGACGCCTTCGATTCCGAATGACGGGTGGGTATGGGGGCGAATCAGATGTATGCTCCGCACTGCCTTGTGGATGTATATGTTCAACACGCCCTAGAGATGGCGTACAGTTTAAGAGAAAAAAAAAGCAAATTCTTCAGATCAGATTCTTCAAATTAATCAAAAGCCCAATGACATTTCAACCATAGAATGCCCTGAAACAATTGAGCCATGGATGAGAAACTCCATTGAAACTCCACTGTTACTGGGCCAACTGGAACTTAGCCACAGGTCTTGGCACTGTGGCACTGTGGCTCACCCCTACCTTGCTGACTCATTAGTTCTTTTTTTAGTATGTGAGGTCATTGGAAGTGGTTAGGGTTAAATTTTGACTATGTCGTACCTCAAAAAGCAGCTGCCTATACTATGAATAGATATCCTAGGCTGTTGCCTTGATCTACAGTGCACATCTTTTGAGTTGCCTTATTCCTTCTTTCTCCTAAGTAAAATGTAACGCGAGTCTCTGGTGTACTATGGGTAAAACATGCAAGTGATATCTCAGGGCTGGCGGCGACCCCAACTTGGGGCCTATGGATTACCCCCCACCTCGGCGCCTTGGATTGTCAAATTTGACCTAGGCACTTCCTTGTATACCGCCTTGCTTACTTCCTAGCTCTGCCTGTCCCGAAAACTCACGAAAAATCAAGAGATTTTTTGGTGATCCCTACCCCACTATGGCTTCCAACTCGAATGGGCGCCCTACTAGCGTGCTATTTGTGTGCCTAGGAAACATCTGTCCGTCATCTTGCTCGGTTCTTCTCTATGCGACATGCTAACCCTATCTATCTAGGTCGTTCCCCGATGGCCGAAGGAGTGTTCCGCAACTTGGCTGCTGCCAACCCCTCCATTGGTGAGATAGACTCCGCTGGTACAGCCGCCTACCACAGCCTCGAGCCGCCTGACTCCCGTACTATGTCTACCCTGCGCCGCCACAAAATCACCAATTACGACCATGCCGCCCGCAAAGTGACAAGGGAAGACTTCCTCACTTTCGATTACCTGCTCGCTATGGACAAGGCCAATCTCCGTGACCTGGAGGATGTGCGCGAGTCGGTTATTGCGACACTCCAAAGGAAGACCGACACCAAGCCAAGCTCGAGGAGTACGCGGTCGCATGTAGATGCAGCCATCGGTGCATACGGGGCGGATACAAAGGTTGCCGAGGTACGGTTGTTTGGTGATTTCGGCAAGAATGGAAAACTGCACGATCGTGTTGGCGGCGGCGAGGTGGTGAAGGATCCTTACTATGGGGGTGCTAATGGATTTGAGGAGGTCTATCAGCAGGCCGTGAGATTCTCCCAAAATTTCCTGGACTACTTGGAGCAAAACCGCATTGACTCGGAGTGAGCGGGTCACACACGAGGATAAAAGCCAGAGCCTATGAGCCTACAGAAGGCGGTTATTTTATTGATACCCTGCGACTAGAGAGAGATTGAACGGGGCTCATGACTGGGAATTAGAATATACAATGTTAAATATAGTTAGCAATATCGAGATAAGTAGTCGGTATAGTACATGAAGTTCTGGACGACAACAGAATATATAAGTGGCACAACTCCGGCACCTATGCTCCACCAATTCACTAGATCAGATCTTCTCGCTGATCTTTATGGCAGTTCTGCATCCAAAGCGAATGATATTGACGAGCGGATCGTAGGGTCTTGCCTCCTTTGAGTCGTTGGCCACGGCATGGTCGAGATGTTCTAGTTCCTCGTCACGAATTCTCCGGAATGTGGCCAACATTTCCTTGAGTTCTTCATCCAACTCCTCCCCCCGTCTCTCAGCATCTGCCTCCCAAGACAGAATCTCTCTTACTTGGTCGTTGTAGTGTGTCCCAATTTCAGTCTCCACGGCTTCGGTGCATGCCATTGCAGCTTCGCGACCCAATGCCGCAGTCGACCAACCCAAAAATGTGGCAGCGACCTCCCACGCCGGGTACATGGCTGTCGGACGGATCTGATGCTTGGCGATCAAGTGATTGAAGGTTTTGAGGTGCCCTGCTTCTTGATCGTACATGTGTTTCATCAAGGGTCGGAGGTGTGGGTATGACCGGACGATCTGAGGCGTTTGGGCTTTGTAGATTAGGGTCGCGGCGAGTTCACCAGCTTGGTTCACACGTAGGGCACTGTCCATGAATTCCCGTTGCTCTTTGCTGAGAACATATAGAGGCTTGGAGCCACTGGGGGTGCCGGCTGTAGTTGAAGCCTGCCGACGGTGACCATGCTTAAATGTTGATGGGACGAGGAAATCGAGCAAAATCGGAGTTGTTGCTGGTGCAGCATAGCGGCAATGCGACAAGGCGCCCTTGCGCAGAATAGATAAAGACAACATCGAGAAATCGATTCGGAATACTATTGAACCCGATTCAAGGGACGAAGCTCAGAGGTCGCGTATTGGTCGCTTAGACAGCCTTGGCGCTGCCGCGCGCTTATTATCGGCTTGGCATTGAACGTCATGAAGTTGACGGCAAAGGCCAACTTGCGACGACCATCTACGCGCTTTCTACGATACCCTCCATTACTCCCCCTGTTCGTCCTGTGTATAGAGTGTTTGTCGAATTGGGGACATTACTTCATCTATAACGGACATTTTGGACCACCCTTTATAAGTCTTGTCCACTTCTCCATATTTTTGGAACCACTCCTGGAAAGGAGGGGATAAACCCATAGGAAGGCGATTACTCCTATTATTCTAGGGTTGTTGAATGCCTATTGATATATAGTGCTCCCGGTTATTGAGTTTTATTGAGGGTATAACTGCATTGAGAGATATTCACAATGGCAGACGATTTGGATGCTGAGCTGCTCGCTTTGGCGGGTGACTCTGAGGAGGAAACTTCACCACCCCCCAAATCACCAGCACACTCAGATTCTTCACACGCCCGCGATCGAGATACCTCACCTGCAGCCATGGGTCGCAAAGGAACCGCCAAATCGATGGGCCGCCGATCCCGCAAGCCCACGAAAGATGAATCGGAGGGTGAAGTGTGAGCAGTACCCCACCATTTTGATTATTACATTTCCCTGACAATATATACAGATCTGACGATGGATCTCGTCACTCGCTACAGTCTGCTCCCATGTCCGAATCCGAGTCAGAGGCCGACAACTCCGGAGACGAGGACGAGGATCGCCCTATTTTCCCGTATGATAAGCTGTACTACTCTGCTCAGGATAAAAAGGACATCATGGCTATGCCTGAAATCCAGCGAGAGGAGACCTTGTCCGAACGTGCCCAGCAGGTCGATCGCCACAACCAAGATTTAGCTCTACGCCGCCTTCTAGCATCTCGCTCCCGCGAGGAAGCACGAGCGGCCAAAAAAGCGAAGCGAAAGGCAGGTTCCGCCGGCTTGGATGATAATCAGCGCAAGAGCTCGCGCCAGAAGACAACTCTTGGTGGTCGCAAAGTCGGAGAAACGTCTGGAGCTATCGAGGCCTACAAGCGCCAGCGTGAGCAGAAGGGCAAGCGGGATGAACTCCGTCGACGAGACCCTGCAAAATCGCGCCGCCGTTCGCGCTCGATCGGATCTGATATTTCTGATGAAGATGCTGACGCCGAGAGTGATCTTGAATTGGATGACCGCGTTGGTCGGCCTGTTTCCATTCCCAAGGATGACCCACCAGCCGAGCTTCGGGAAATCCGACGTGCCCAAGTTGGACGCAACAACTTCGCCAAAGTTTGCTTCTACCCTGGATTTGAGAATGCTATGATTGGCTGCTACGCTCGGCTGAGCATTGGCCCACACCCCGACAGTGGCCAGAATGAATATCGGCTGGGCCTGATTACTGGTAAGAGTTCATGTTGCCTGGCTTATTTATGCACGCTGACAGTTTTCCAGGAATCTCTCTGGGCAAGCCATACGCTTTGGAGGGCGGAAACGGTCGTCCATTTGTCACGGATCAGTATGTCAAACTGGCCCATGGAAAGTCTGTCAGGGACTTCCCATTCGTCACTTTCTCGAACTCGCCAATTACTGAGGTTTGTTCCTTCCCCCAGAATCGAGGGACCCAGCTAACAACCAACTAGGCCGAGTACCGTCGTTACGTCCAGACCCTCACTGTTGAGGATTGCAAGATGGCTACCAAGAGCAAGGTTGAGTCGAAGGTCGCCGATATCAACCGTCTCCTTAACCACTCATTCACTCGCGAGGAGTTGAACGAGAAACTCCGTCGCCAGGGTGCTTTCGACCACAAGAAGAATGTGCTCAATCGTCTCGAACTCGAAAGAAATTTGGAATTCGCCAAAGCCAACGGAAACACGGAGGAGGCTGAGAAGATTGAGGCAGAACTACAGAAAATGGTCAATCCGACACTGTCCTGGGGAACAAGCCTCGTCAAGAAAGAGGTCGATAGGGGTCCATCAGAAGCCGAACGAGTTCACCAGATCAACCTTCGCAACCAGAAGCTTAACATTGAGAATGGTCGCCGTGCTCAGCTAGAGGAGAGAAAGGCTGCTAAGAAGGCGGCCGAGGCTGTTGCACGTGGAGAGGCCGCCCCGAATCCATTCATGCGCGTGCGAACAGTGGCCAAAACTCACCATGATCTTAGCGGAGCATCCAAGTCTGGCGCTGCTGATGCTACTTCTGTCGACACCTCAAAAGATACCTCTGGTACCGCAAAATCCAATGGTAGTCCTGCACAGAAGGGAACACCCGCCTCTCGCATCACTCCAAAGAAACCCAAGAATGGCTTCATGATCAGTTACCGCAACACCGATGATGAGAATATTGCAGCCCTGGATATGGACATCGACATCGAGATTTAGTCTCATAAAAGAATGTCTTTTATCCATGCGGTTCGGTTCGGTGGCTTTAGTTACTTGGTCCGATTTACTACCTATGAGAATATTCTTTTGTTCTGAGATTCCGTGATTCCCCTGAACAAGTCTATGCCTCAAGGACCTTGGCGGTTATTGGCTCAAAGCCTTGCCCGCATTGTGATTGTATCTTTTGCTTCTTTTTTTTTTTTTTCTTATGTGATCTTTGAGGAGTCCGTGGGTGATCTCGGCGTCGATTCAGAAAATATTAGCATCAAGCTTTGTATTATGAGATTTCAGCATTAGCAATACTCCTATCGTGTTTTAGCAGCGCAGCACTGATGCACTGGAAAAGATATTTCCAAAATAATTGGAAAAAAAGGACAAAAAAAGATTAAAAAGAGAAAACATCACTTGTGACCATAATAGCTCCTCGTAGCAACAGTAAAGCCAATTAACCCCTTTGAAGATGAAGTAGGCGATAAGATAAGGTCACGTGTGGGTCTGGCAACGCGACGGACGCGCATCGCGTTCGGACTATGCGCCCTTGAACCTGGCGTCCCCACCAACTTTCCGAACCTTGGAAGTCTCAAAACACGCCTCCAAGTTCAATTGACACCATTATGGAAACTATTTCTTATTAATCACAATCATTCACCATAAAATTCACAACATGTCCTCACCATCCACGCCACGGTCGACGCGTTCTGTGTCGCCCGCGGGTGGTTCGCCGAACATTATTACGCCCGGCCAGAAGATCAAGGCCATGATGGCTCAATTTGACAGCGATTCAGAGGATGATACTCAAATTGCCAAGTCAACAGATGCGGTCTCGAAGCTTGATCTTGGGGGTGTTTCTGTGCCGGCTGCTGATACACGCAAGAATGGCTCGTTGCACGACTCAGAAGAGGATCCAGACAGTGCAGATGAGGTTTTCCGACCAAAAGGCCGTATGGCTGCCCGACTACAGGCTAGCTCTGGACCCTCTAAACCCGAGGACGAAAATTCAGCATTCGCCCGCGTGTCAAAGGCCATCCGATCAGAAAGAAAACAGGGCGAGAAGCGAGACCAGACAGAACCACAACCCACACCCATTAGCGAATCTAGTGATGATGACCTACCTACGGCCGGCCCGAGAAGAAAGCATAAATCCACAAGTAACTCTCCCAGGTCCGATAACAGAACGAGCCAAACCCCTCCCCGTTTAAGACCCGACTCTCCCCTCTTTGTCTCCTCCCCAAATGAACCGCATAACGACCCAGATTCCGAAAATGCAGATTACGAAAACGCCACTGGGATGAAGCCTAAAGGAAACGCCCGTTTCATGGCTCTTGTCGCTCAAAAACGCAAGGAACGCGAGGAGCGAGAGAAAGCTGAGATCGCAAAGAAGGCAATCCGAAAAGCCCAGCTGGAGCAGTTCAGCTCGCAGGTACTCTCGGGCGAGGAGAGCGGTGCTGAGGATCCGCGTTCTGCGAGTAAGCTATCCCAGAAGGCTCGTCAGCCCCGCAAAGCCAGCAAGAAGGCACTGGATGAGATGAGGCAGGAGACTCAGCGAATGAGCCGTAACATGCAACTAGCTCACCAGGCCAAAACAAAAAAGAAGATTACCAAAGAAAGTCTCTTCGCCAAATTCAACTTCATGCAACCGGATACACCGGCTGAGCAGGTCGCAGCAAATTCATCGTCAGCGGTCGGATCACAAAATTCGTCTGATGGAGAAGTACGCCCCCAAACCAAAGATACCCCGCGTACTTCTCCAGTTCCTAGCAATTTGGATGCTACCAAGACGACCACTGATTCTGAGCATGCCCAAGTTCAACTACCTGATATGAATATGGATGACGACGGTGACGACTTGCCTGACCCAAAAGACCTCCTGGCGCCAAGCCAATATCCCGCATTGTCCAAGGACCCTGCAGTCGATGATATCTCGGATTCTGTGCCTAAAACTAAATCCGAGGGTGCCAACTTGAAGAGAGTTTCGCGCCCGTTGACACAGGCACCTATCCGTGTGCTGCTTTCCAGGCAACAGGTTGCTGCGCGCCAGAAAGATTCAGACGATTCCGACAGTGATCTTGAGGTGGTAACAGACCCTGGCAAGTGCCGTCGTCTCGCAGCGTTCGAGAATCTGCCCACTAGACAGATGCATGAAGATCCCTCTATGACCAAGCTCAAGGCATTGGCGCACCTGACGTCTCCTACCCGGAAAATGGCTTCCATGAACGCTGCAGAGCTTTCCGCAAATTTATTATGGCGGGCCCGGCAGCAAGCGGCGAAGGAGCGCCGGGAGCGAATTGAGGAACTCAGGGCCAAGGGAGTAGTCATTGAAACAGCCGAGGAGCGTGCAGCGATGGAGGATGACATGGAAAACCTTGTTGACAAGGCACGCAAAGAGGCAGACGAAATCCGCCGACTAGAGAAAGCTGCTAGGAAGAAGGATAACCACGACGATGACGAAGAAGAGGATGATGACTACGAGCTTTCAGGCTCTGACGAGGAAATTGATGGTGACGATGAGGATGACCAAGAGGAAGAAAACGAGCGCGTCAATCGCGGCGGGGATTTCATCGAGCAGGAGGCCGACGAAGACGACGATTCGCCTGACGACGAGAGTGAGACCACTCCTTCAGATGCAGAGAACGAGATGCCTGCCGCGAGACGGCAGCGACGAACTCGGGTGATTAGCGATGACGAAGACGAAGACGAACCACAACCACCCTCAACGCCTGTGAGAGCCCCGGGTTATGTCCCGCAGTCTGCCGAACGACCCAACTTCCTTGGCATGGGAACACCAGGCAATATGTCCCTGGGTCTTACCCAAGCATTTGCCTCCACACTGGATGGTAATGGGGTTGGAACCCAAGTGGAATCTGCCACCATACCTTTCTCTCTCCCAGACCCTGGTCATGCTGTTCCTCAACTTCGTAAGGAGGAATCAGAGATTCTTGTCCCAGACAGTCAGCCCCAGCCCCAGGATAAAGAATTTATGGAGGGCTACGCACAGAGTGTGACCCGAGTCTCAGAGTCGCCTGCACCATATGCATTCTCGGAATATTCCCAATCTCAGCTGCCCGACCCAACCCAGGACGAGGGCTTTGTATTCTCCCCATTCGATCCCGCGAAAAGATTCAGGGGTACTCCGCCCATATCTACCGTCGACACAGTCCTCGTAGGTCAAACTCAGTCGCCTATTGCTGATCGCAAACGCAAAATGTTGCGCCGAGGACGTGCAATTGAACTCTCTCAAGTAGATGAGGATGACAATGAAGGTGACTTTGAAATCAACGCCACTGCCTTTGATATCATGAAGAAGAATAAGGCTGCAAAGATGAAACTTGCCCAGCAATACAACAAGAAAGACAGCAAGGCCAAAGACATTGTCGATGAGGCTGCCGAAGAATCTGAAGATGAATATGCCGGCCTTGGAGGTAACAGTGACGAGAGCGATGGCGAAGAAAATGCCATTGATCGCCAAATGATCAATGACAACAGCGGCGAGGTAGTTGATGAGAAGCAACTTGCCGCACTCAATGCGTATGTTGGGAGTTTGATACACGTTTAATGAGAAGATACTTACATTCTATAGTGTTCACGATCGCAACCGCGACGAGAAAGATGTCGCTAAGTTGATGAGAGACATCACTACCGGAGCCCTCCGCCGTCGCAAGAATGCAGATGACGACTTTGACCTTGACGACTCAGACGATGAGCTCCTAGCACGTCGCCGTGAGAAGCAGCGCGAATTCGCAAAAATGCGCCGCGCTCTGCTTGCAGATGAGAAAATCGGCGAGATTGCCGAGAACCCCAAGAAGGCCGCATTCTTCAGGGCGGTTGAGGATCGCGAAGTTGATGATGACTTCAATATCGACTTCCTTGAGGAAGAGGATGCCTCCCAAGGAGAAGCATCGCAGGATCCCGCTTCGGGAGAGCAGTCAAATGATGTGGCGAGTGATGGTCAGAATCGCAAGCGCCCCCTGGAACCATCGTCTGAAGATGCAACCAACCGTCCGCCGCCTCGCCTCCGTCGCACTCCCGCTAGCGCAATGTCAAAGAAACCGGCCACGATAGCCGAGATTCGTGAAACATTGTCCTTCCTTACTGAAACACCCGATTACGACTCCTTCCAGGACGATGCTTCTCTCGATGAGGGAGAAGACGAGCAAGAAGATGAAGACACCCCTGACGCGGAAGAAGCTCAAGGCAATGACCAACCACAATCGGACGATACCTTCGCCAAACCCAGCCATCCACGCCGCACGCGCGGAGTCGTGGTCGACCGCCTTGCACTCCTGCGACAAGCATCCTCCAACTCCGCCACAGGAACAAACTCTGGTCCCGCAAATTCCAAGCTTGCATTCCACAGTGGCCTCGGTGCAGAGGGTCCTATTGGATTCCGCCCTCCTCAACTTCTGCGTCGTGTTACGGCCGGCTCCTCATCTTCCAGTAGCTCGAGTTCCTCCAACCGTGTCTCCAAAACTGCAGCTTCGGGTCCCAAGAAGGGTGGTGCTGTTAATTCGTACACAGCTGCGCGTGAGCGTGAGCGTGAAAAGGAGCTCCGCATTAAGCAGCGCAGCGGGGGGTCTAACATTGCCAAGTTGCTAGGTAAGCATACTGGTGGTGGTTTGAGTGGCCTGGACAAAGGCCAATGGGACTGAATCGATGCCCTATGGAATTAGCGATATATTCCTTTCTACATGGGCGTGCAGTTGATTTTTTTTATCTTATGTTATGATGGAATTGGGATTGGTTTTGCGGAGGTAGGGTCACATAATGAGTCCGGGCTTTAGGCGTACTGTTCTGGAGGCTGTTACATATTCAATCAAACAATTAGATCTGCACATTTCTCTAGTGACCTTCCAAAAGCAAAGTTTTTCCAGAGGCAAGCTACTGATATGTCCTCAGTGGATTCCACAAACAAAAAAAGAATGTGCATCATCCGTGAATCGAACACGGGCCTCGTCGATGGCAACGACGAATTCTACCACTAGACCAATGATGCTAGAGGACCAGGCGAATCTGAATGCTGATTCGTTGGTGATATATTTCGCTTCCTCTATTGAAAATATATAACAAAGAAGATATAGAATGTATCTTAAATATGAACTACGGAGTATGGAATATTTCATTTTTGTTCATAGTCGTAGAATCCTCGGTTATTCTTGACACCCAAACTTCCACCTTTAATCATCTTTCGAAGGTAATCCCGCGGTTCTGTGGGAATCCCACTGCGAGATTCGGCGTAGTGATTCTCAATGTCCAACACAACATCCAGACCAACAACATCCATTTGTTCACATGGACCCTTAGGTGTCTTCAAGACATCTTTGAAAATGGCATCAATTTCTTCGGGCGTGGCAACGCCTTCAGACAATGTGAGTAGAGTCTCTCGTTTAATAGCAGCCCAGATTCTTGAAGATTGTTATAAGTATGATCGTTTAGGAACAGAGAAAAGAATAACCCACCTGTTGTAGATGTAGCCGATAGAGTCCTTTTTGACATGGAAAGGTGAGAATCCATGTTCTTTACATTGTTTCAAGACTAGATCAATCAGCTTAGGATCGCTATCCTTATGGCCCATGATTTCAATTGCTAGCTTCTAGTTAGTAAATTAAACACGAAAGAAGATACTTGGGAAATAGGAAAAGACATTACCGGATGTCTCTGGTGGCCAATCTGATACGAGTGTTAGCACAGTATTCCATTTAGCCTTGAATAGTTACCTACAGCAATGCGCGCTCATAACTCTTTTGCTGTTTTTCAGGGTCATGCCCTGGATAATCTCAAAGATTCCATAGCTACTCGAGTTGGAAGCAATAATTGTGCCTTCAGGTGCAAGGTCATCGAGTTGAGTGATTACTTTTCGCTTTAGCTCCAAGTTCTCCGGCACACACTGGTTTCAGGCCATGTCAACCAATTGATCCTATCGGTAAAGAGATAAGTCGTACCTCAACAACGAGCCATGCATCTTTCAGTGTAGATTGCAAGGAAGTGGGCTGGGCAGTCTCAATCTGACCCCAGTTTCCTTCATGATCTGTAGCATCCGCACGAAGCTGTTCCACGTACTTCAGAGCATCTTGTAGCTGTTGCGCTTGAAGATCTACTAGACAGACAGTGCCGCCTCGGCTTGACCACTTTAACATGTTAGCATCAAAAAATATGTCAATTGTGTTAAATAATAGCACTTACCATGTGCGCAAGACGTCTACCTTGAGTACCGGCTCCAATGATTACAACAGACCCCTGTGGGGGTTTAACATCTTCCATCTTCAATGCTGATGCAGGTAGACCCTTCACGTTTCACGATTATAATAAAATTCGCAATGGAACTGGATCAATCCATAAACAAAAAGATCCGAAGAAGATGTTCAATACAAGTTCGGAGTTCAATGCGCAGTTCGGCCCCGCACCCGTATGCCCGCGGATATGCGGGACTTAAGGAGTTACCGCGGGACACGGGATATAGCACGGATATTTGAGAAGGCAATTGAGAAGTTATAACAAAGCAGGTTTTAATTAAGCATTGAATCGAGAAGGAAATGCGAAAGAAAAGGTCAATCCCCAAAATAATACAATGCAGCTTATAATTGGAAGAGGGGGAACTAGATACACAACATTTTTGCAATACATTCTATCTGTCGATGCCCTCTCTTATTGGATATCCACCTCATGCATTTTTTCCATTATTCTGTACCCCCCACAGCAATGACTGGGTTTGTGGGAGTTTGAGCACCACACATTGACGCTAATTGGCAGGCATGTCTGGCCCCATCTCAAGCGAGGTCCTTCGGACAGCCGTTGCCAATTGAATTTGATATCGTCCGAAAGAATAGACTGTGTCGGTAGATTCGAATACACCAAAGCAGGAACTGTCAGCTTTATCCAGCCAAATCGACAAGAACAACCAATAGGCAAGCGTCTTCAGTGACCCCTGCATATATATCATGACCAGAGCCTTGGTATTGCGCAGTAAACCCTTTTTCAGGGCCCATATCAAAAGCTTGTTGCAAGCAAGCTCTAATGGCAGAAAGTAGTGTGTGGTGTGTTTCAGGGAGCGAAGCACGGAGATCCCTGAGCGTAAAGAGCATAGACTCATGAGCTATCAAGAGTGTGTATGTTGTCGCTGTGCCGGTTTGGAGCGTAAAATAATAGATATTTCCCAGGGAACTTCGAGGTTATCTTCTCGACTCGTTCGACATAATTGTCGGATTAACCTTGTTCGAGTTCAACTGTGCATCTGCCGTCTATTGACAAATGCTGTTATGGGAAAATGTCCAATTTGTCTGCCAGCTTAAGAAGGTCTGGGAATTCCTTCACTCCATCGTCATGAACAGCAGAATGATCTCGAGCAAGCAAGTAGCTCTCCCAGCCTGCATCCCTTGCAGCCTGGTAATCCTTTTTAAAATCATCACCCACATGCACAGATCTGAATCTGGTTTTGCTAGTCAACCACGGACGGGAAACCTTAAGAGCCTGCCGTCTCGCCACGTCGAAGATCAAGCGATGAGGTTTCTCTTGGCCAGCCTCATAACTCGTAATGACCATGTCAATATCGAGATCCAAATTGCGGTCTTTTTGATCTTTGCCTTGTTTCCCGGCATCATCTTTTTTGATACTTCGTACCTCAAACCCGGGAAGATCCATACTCGATTGATCTTGGTCGGCGCGCATATCACCAACTGTCAATCCCAATGACTTTAGCACAGCGGGGACGCGGTCATCCGAGTTAGACACCACTCCTACAATGATCCTATCAAAGGACCACTTATGTGCGGACTTCAGTTTGCGCATTCGGCGGAAGAAAGGTAGTACATCGTCATAGAGCGCGTACCCCTCGGAACTAGCGAATCGATCTAGTAAGACTTCCACCATACTGTCGGGGACATTATCTTTGGGGTGTTCAGAACGCGTCTCTCCACTCTCTGCAGACAAAACACGCCCGAAGCTCCCCCTAATCACCTCCTCCCACCACTGCCTCGGTCCCCCGTATTGGCCTCGGAGAACATCCGCGCGACCGTAGTTCGGGTATTGACGCATCTGCGCACGAAAAGTGTCTCGGAATGCGCTTTCGAGTTTGTCCGGGGTGATGGTAGTTCGCGATAATCCGAATTGGTGCGCGACCGCGGCATATTGCTCGGGGACGGGGAGACGCGGGTGGAAGAGGGTGCCGAACGCGTCAAAGGTGAGGAGAAGAGTTCTCGAAGACGCCGGTATAAGGCGGGTCGGGCCCGGCATTTTTTTGCGTAGAGAGAGGGTGATCTTGAACTAGGGGTCTTCGAGACGTTGGAGATGTTGAGCTTCGATTGCCCGCCACAGCCCCACTCCCTTGTTGCTTTTCCATACAAAATCGAATTTGCGAAACATTCGGTATCTCAATCCTTGTTGTCTGTCGATATCAATCGAAAGTATTTGGTCCTTAACTCATATTTCAAGACTAATACTCACTTGTTTAACTCCAAACACAAGCAAAATGATCTCATCGCGCATGTCGTCAAGTTCAATGCTGTACTTAGAGTATATGGCTTCGACTAGTTCTCTGTTGCAAATTGAGTTAGTACATGTAGCACGCTCGTCTAATTGCTGAAACTTGTCGTGGGGAGAGAGGCTAGAGAAAACGTACAAGGGAAATAGAATATACAGTACGTGTTAGACTTCGGAAATATATAACCACCAACTGCCATGAAAATAGTACAAAGGTTTTGTCTATAGTATGCTATAACTGGCCCTACACTGATACTCTTGAGCTTTACCTATATTTAGTAATTAGGGTTATAGCATTTCGAACTCTCAAATCATGCCTAGTGGTCTATTCAACTCTACCGGATGTTGTTAGTACTACTTATGTGCACATACTTCATAAGTAATGCCTGAAGAAGTAAGCGATTATCTATCAATTGGCCAATATTATTGTGTGACAAGGCTGTGGAAAGTTTTGCTCCTTAGTATAATGAAGAATATGTTCCATAAAAGCCCGCGACTCCGGATACCCGATGGAAGATATGTATAGTTCGGTCTATTGTCGGTGGTACTACGGAGTAAGTAACACTAAATCGTGATACATCATTTGGACTGATTGGAAGGTCAAGGATAGAACTTCAACAATACAACGATGTTTAAACCTCTCGCCCATTTCTGCGTGGGTTAGCAAATTTCGCTGCTGGAAAAACGGGTAGACTGTTCTAGGCAAGTATGAGGCTGGATATGGAACGCTCATGGTCACCGAAGGCTATTCCTACATCCACAAAGTGATTATGTTCTATAACATATGCATTACTTGAAGTGGACCTGTGATTCTGCTTATTATATGCTTGGTAAGGATGGTGGAAAGGTTCCGCTATCCACAATCCACTTGGCAAGTGTTCCAGAGTACGAGAGAGTTCTATTACATACAGTATTCAATAAATGTGGGACGGTGGCTGAGCGAATTAGAGAGAATTGGATGCAATTCCCAACGCCTCTTCCGTGGAATACACGAATCAAAATCTAGGAAACATGTACCCCATAAAGCTCGAGGTTAATTATCTCTCGGAGGCAGAGCTGGGAAAACGCTTTCCCGGGAGAACGCGTTTCAGTTTGCCCCAAGAAGTCAAACAAGGCTAATGACTCAAGGCATGTTTATTCCGTCCTAAGCTACTAAAAACGATTTGGTGTTTTCGCTAACATGTAATTATCAAACGTTTTGAATGATTTTTTTCTCAATTATTGTATACTGACTCAGAAATATCGGATGAAGGTTTACCATTGACTTCCAAAGTTGGGGGTTCAAGAAAAAGTTAGTTCCTTATCTGATCGAGCTATACCTGATCGGTGACACTTGGGAAATTAAAAAACTACGAGCCATGTTTCGACATGTTTCGCTATGTTTTGCATGTCTTGCCAAGTATTCAATGATCCACTGGACTGGATGCAATGGACTTGGGGTAGTTAAAATGGTCCATCCCCTTCCCCGACAAGACTTATAGAAGATCTCGTAGACGTCAAAATGAGGATCTTCCAGGCTGAATACCTCGCTGTTGCTCTCTCTGTCTTTACAGGAGCTGCCTCCGCTTCCGACTTTCAGAACCACACCTATGACTATATCGTGGTAGGTGGTGGCCCTTCTGGTATCATCAGCGCCGAGAAGTTCGCCCAGGCCGGAAAGAAAGTTCTGCTCCTTGAGCGAGGAGTCGGACCAACTGTGGCCACCGGTAATAATGAGACCCTGCCATGGAACCACTCGTTGACGCCCATCGATCTTCCGGGACTGTCAGCCAACATCGGCTCGCTCGATGTCTGGAACCAGTATATGTGCACCGACACTGCTGGTAATGCTGCCTGTGTGCTCGGCGGTGGTGTAACCGTCAACTACATGGTCTTCGTTCACCCGCCAGCCCGTGACTTCGACGACAAATGGCCCAAGGGCTGGAAGTGGAAGGATGTAGAGCCGGCTGCGGACCGACTCTACAAGCGCAACCCTGGAACCACCTTGCCCTCTGCGGACGGCAAGCGATATGACCAGGGTCTTTATGGTGTGCTGTCCAAGTTCCTCGGTGGCCTTGGTTGGAAGTCAGTGGATATGATAACCGAACCAAACGAGAAGCACCAGGTCTACAGTTACCCGTCTTGGAACGTACAGAATCAGATGCGTGCTGGCCCTGTTCGCACCTATCTTCCCGATGCGATGAAGCTAGACAACTTCCATCTTTCCCTCCAAACCAAAGTGATTCGCTTGGTTCGTTCCAGTAGTAAGGTCACTGGCGTTGAGATTCAGACTGCTTCGGGTCGCTCCGAGATCATCACCGTTGCTCCCCACGGTCGCGTGGTGCTGGCTGCTGGCGCTCTGTCTACACCGCGTCTGTTGTGGAATTCCGGTATTGGTGGTAATGCCCAAATTGAGATTGCAAAGAAGAGCGGCGTTGCAATTCCCCCCAAGGCTCAGTGGATCAATCTGCCTGTTGGTGTTGGTCTCAAGGACCACCCGATTTTCCCGATTATCTTCAACACCAATGCCTCATTTGGTCTCGTCGACTACGAGGGAGTACTTAATGGAACCGACTCTCACGATATCTCCCTCTACCGCAAGCGCAGCGGTGTCCTGACCCAGGGCAAGCACCGCATGATCTTCTTCACTTCGGAGGAGATTGATGGCCACACTCAGTACTACCAGGGCTCGTGCGCGCCTACTGACGAGGGCGTGGTAACTGTCACCACGTACATGACTCATGGCCTCACTTCGTCCGGTGTTCTGGGGCTTGATGCCAGCGGAAAGACTGTCATTGAAAAGTCGCCCTACCTTCAGACCGCTGCTGACCGGAAGGCCGCTCGAACTTTTATTCACAAGATGGTCAAGGAGATCACCGCTCCCTCCACCGGGTTTGAGCTCGAGACTTACACCAATGTTTCCGCCATCTTAAAGTCCCAGACTCCTGGTACCCACTACATCAGCACTGCAAAGATGGGCACCGACGATGGCCGTAAGAACGGCACCTCCGTTGTCGATACCAATACCAAGGTTTATGGAGTGGATAATTTGGTATGTGGCCCAGAACAGTTCGTTTGCTTGAAAAATGGCTAATCCTTTCATAGTTCATTGTTGATGCTAGCATTCATCCTGACCTCCCGACTGGTAACATTCAAACAGCTGTCATGGTGGTTGCTGAGGCCGCTGCCGTTAAGATTCTGTCCAACTAAGTTGGTCATTACTGAAATAGGCCAGTGAAAAAAATTTCGCGACCCTCACACGCATTTCATTATATATCAAGATACATCTATAGAAAAGTTCAATATCCAAATCATTGTACCCAACTTCGGATGACATGTCATGGTTAAATCGTTCAGGATCTTCGAGAGGTGTTACCCCTGAATCCCCGGCCCGGACCTCAAAGTTTAAATCGGGCTTTGACTCCCCTGGACACCTTTTTCCATTTCAAATTTACGTTGAAAGTGCGGTGAAACTAACGTACTCCGCAGTAAATGTTTATATGTTGATCTGGGGGGTCTGGTAACCCCTGCCGATCCCCTGATATCCGCGATGGAAGTGATATCATCGGTCAAAGTCCAATTTTCCGGGCAAACGGAAAATTCACATCACTTCCCCACTGGACTATTTGACAATTTAACCCTTGGAAGATTAAAATTGCAATAATCAGCGTTAATTTTACCCACGTGGAGTTCAACATTCTTTTTACAGTTTCTTGGGGCAGACAGACCGTTGATCTCAGGCGACCTTAGCCCAAGAAGACTACCAATTATTGGCCATTCCGATTGATAAGGTTGAAACTAGTCGTGTCGATCCTTAACTTCTAAAGTTTGCTGTCTCCGACACTATCGGCAATAAGCGCCGGTGAATTAGGGAAACCTCACTGCCATGGCATAGAATATGAAGTACAGGCTACCCTGAAAGGCCCAACAGAATACCTGACAATTGTATCTCTATAATAGGGATGCTTCTTTTGAGCTTCAACCAAGGGGTTTCCGGCTCAAAAATGAGGTGGAATTGACCAATTACGACGACGATGTCATCGATATCTTGGGCTCATCCTGACAGTTAGAGTGGGGACTTGCCCCTGATTTGTTCAAGGATGTAGCGCTGGCTGGATGATCCGCGAAGTGGCTAATGAGGATGGTCATCTTTTGAAGCTTATATCAGGACTAATACTGTGTGCCGGACCCAATATTATGTCGCGGCACCTGCGTTAGCCACTCAGCGTGAGGCTTACTTCTCAGAAGATGAAATATGAGTGGTTTTCCTCCATTTTCTATGGCACTAATTTGCGATACAAGCGGACCTTCTGGCAAATTAAAGCTTCTGTTAGCTCAGGAGCAGACCCCAACAACGTCAACGGATGAGGGATGGGGTTGGCATCAATGCCGATCCCCGGAAAACAGCTATAGTATATAACAAGACCGTCTCGCCGTGATGTATGAACTCTAGCAACCTTCTTTGTTGTCATTCCTTAATCCTGGTTCATACCGTCCATTCATTACCAAACAAGTCTTTGAACTTATTCCACTCATTAACCAACATGAAGTCTTTCGCCCTCTCTGCCGCCATTCTGGCCTCAACTGCTTTGGCTCTGCCCACCAACATCATGTCAGGCACCACCGACTCTTTGCCCTCCGGAGTTCCCTCTTGCCTGCCCTCCGGCGTCATCCCTTCGGGCATCCCTCTGCCCGTGGCATCCATGATCCCCACTTGCTCCGGTGTCCCCGCAACTTCCTTGTTCTCCGCCTTGCCCAATCCCACCGGTGCCGTCTCCGATATGACCCAGGGCTCTGATGCCATCTCAGACATGACCAAGGGCTCCAGTCCCGGCCAGGTTCTTTCCATCCTTAACCAGGCTGGAACCTCAGACTTCAAGATGATGGCTGAGTCCGAGCTTCAGGGCCTGATGAGCAAGCTGCCAGTCAGCACTCTCGAGAAGCCAGTCGGCCAGGTTATTCAAACCGCCGAGTCCGTTGACCAGCTTGACACCAAGAGCGGCTCCGGCCTCACCAAGATCACCGCTATTCTCGAGAATGGCAACGCCGCCCTCATCGAGCTGACCCAGGATGTCGAGGATCTCCTCTCCAGTCTCGGCCTTGACGTGGTTGGCAACCTTCTCGGCTCCATTGTTGGCGGCCTTGAGTCCATCACTGGCAGCATTAAGCGCGACGACCCTCTCCAAAATGTTCTGTCTGTCACTGATATGAACGGCCTCGCTGGTGGCAAGGACCTCCTCGTCCAGGTTGAGCCTACTCTCCTCGGACTCCTCAGTGGTCTTGACCTCTCCACCATTAAGGGCCCCATCGGCAATGTTGTCGCCATGGCCCCCTCCCTCTCCGAGCTCAAGTCCAAGGTTCCCAAGATCCCCGGCGCTGAATTTATTGCTGTCGAGGCCGAGGACAAGGCTTCCCTCCTTTTGATTAAGGTTGAGGGCACTGTCCAGGGTCTCCTTTCCACTCTCGGCCTCGGCAGCCTCGGCACCGCCGTCGGCTCTGTCGTCTCCTCCGCCAAGGGTGCTCTTTCCCAGTAAATATTTTACCCTTGATGGGCTCTGATCATTCTCTTCTACCATTTACCAATTTCATATCTTATATAAAGGGAAAATGACCCGTGGTTTGGTGTGGAAGTATTGCATGCAACGATGACGAACACAGTGGTCTCCCTTATACATACTTCTTCTTAGGCATTATCTTGTGCTTTATGTTGTATATACTCTCGATACTTATTCTATATGTCTGAAATACGCCAATTAAGTCTAATCGATAATTCTGCTTGTAACGGGGTTCCAAACCCCAACAAACAACGACCTGGTAAACCACAGTAGGTCCCTCAGTGCTGCATTCCACCCCAGTAACTCTCTCCACCCTGATCATACGGGTTTGATGCATCCTTGCACTCAGGGCTATTGTAGTCCTGGACTGTACCCATCGGCCAAATAGGCACGACACAAATCTCATTCGCCGCACAACCCCTGCACTCCTTCCACGTCGCCCAATCGAGATAAACAACCAAGTTTTGAATAGTCTGCATCGCAGAACTAAGATCCTGCTTCTTCCCAGCCTCAACCAAAGATGAGCAGATTTTCCGAGCAACACCGTGAACAGCATTTGCTGCGATGCCCCCGTTTTCTGATGAAATCGGCGGTAAGAACTGTGTGGCACAGCGCTCAACTTCCGCGACATCATCTCGTTCATCATAATCGATGAAAGGAGACAGAATACGCTCAATCTCGGACTGCAGGCGCTCGCTCGAATCGATACTACCGGAAGCAAGGTATGACAGGTCGTTGCTGTATCGAGTCACAATCATATCTGTAATCGCTTGCCAATCCTCGGAGGTATCGGCAGGTTGATGTGTCATGATAAGATCGGTAATTTCAGCAAGGAGGACAGCGCGCTCCTCGGGAGAGATGCTGGTAAGTCGGGGGAGGGTTGGATTGTCTTGGAAGAGGTCTATGTTGTGGGAGAAGGCTGTCACAAAGTGATTGAAGTTCAGCGAAACTCGGTTTCCACCGATTCCGTTATAGCGGGCGGTGATTGCGCGCATCCACCGCGACGAATCGGGCCCTTTTGCAGGTCCACCAGGTCCGTGCCCTTTCCCATCGTCCTCCTTCTTTGGTCCATAACCATTGTGGTGCTTGCCATCACCCTCTTTGTGAGGACCATCCCGGTCACCATGCTTACGGTTACCCTGGTGCCCACGTCGCTCCTCAGGGTGTTGCTTGACCTGCGTGATTCGAACGGGGTTTAGATCGCGCTCGAAGTGACATAGGATAATCTCAAATCCAGCCTCCATGCGCAGCACACCGTCAATGCGACCCTCCCATTCGTTGTCGGCCATCTCGCAGGCCAGTCTGGCGCGTTCGCTCTCTCGTCCACGCCGGCCGGGAGGATCTCCAAACGAGCCGTTGAATAAAACCACATCCTGAGAATCAAGGGTGCCCTTCGGTGTCTTGGCAGCAGACATACCATCAATATATAAAAGGCGGAGATCCTTGGCTGCAGCATACGTATGCAAATACCCCGCCTCATTCTCATCGAATGCCTTCGGCGGGTGATCACCCGGCGGGCCGTGATGTTTCTCATCTGTGCCATGATCCTTTCGCTTCCGCAGCTCGCCATGGCCTCCATCCTGTCGCTCGGTATCAGCCTCGTCGGGTGGTAGGTGCGGTGGGGGACCGCGTCGCGGCCGGGCGAAGACCATGGCATGTTCGGGCTCAAACGCCAACCACTCGGTGCCATTAACCGGGCTGGCTTTGGAGGTCCCGTGGTAGAATTGTGTACCGGCGGGAACACCCGCGAGGAAGAACGACACGCCGTTGTGGTGCAGAGACGATCCCCACTGGCGCATTGAGTCTTGGATCACATTGAAAATGTGATTTGCATTCTTAATTGGCACGTTTGGGGCCGTTGAGAGGGCGCTCGATGGGACTAGAATCCCGAATAGCGGGAGGAGCAAAGGTGGTCGCATTATAGGGGCCGAAGAAATGTACTAAATATGTTTATCAGATCAGAAGGTAACCTGTGTGGAGAAAAGAATTCATATAAAAAGGATACAGTATACTTAAAAGCCGCGTCATTAATTCGCGGCTTTTCGTTTTTGGTAGTTTAGTCCGGCGCTAGGAGATAAGCTATGGCTAGTGACTTGCCGCTATTCGGGTCAGTTGGCTAAGAATGTTTGATGGATGAAAGATTATGTTCCCACGGAATAGTACAATTGGCATAGACCTCAAGCTAACCTTTCCAGAAGAAACCGCCATAAAACCACAGTAAAGTTGTTAAAAAGCCCCGCTGTTGGCTATTCTTTCATATGAATTGACCGGCACCTAGGGCTATGTAAATAACGTGACCCTGGTGCAAATTAACCATACAGTTTGAAACGGTAATTTACCCGAAATATCATCGGACCATGATATATGGACGACAACGGATTAAATATTGAAAAGGGAGCAAGACTAGCACGACGGCACCATACTCCACTAAAATACTTTGGGTGTATCTGCTGCTGGAATGTGTGTCACTAGCAAGAAGAGTGCCTGCAGTCTTTATCTTAAAAAGATCTTAGGCACGAAGAAGAGGCGAGGGGTCTCACGTAACATCCTTCAGATGAATGATAGGATATGTATGGAGCCAGCAGCGAGCATGATGAATGGTTGGTATTAACATACACATAGGCAGAAGAATCATCACCGAAGAATGTCAGGTGTTACTCGCTACTTCATGATTTAATTGTACCGAAATTAACCCGAGAACTAGCTAGTTATGTGATTGTTGAAAGTATCAGCCCGTATAGGTCACTATGCAAGTAGAAGCATGATATAGTCGATATATAGATGAGTGATCATTCTCAGGGGTGATCTGCTTGTTTGTGTAACATAATGCGTTACACCATAGCTACAAACTCGCTGAAGGCTTTGGCCTCAATTCGACAAAGCCGCGGAAGTCCGGTGCCCGACATTTCTGTATGTAATCGTGGTATTTATTTATCCCTTGAATCCTGTGTATAATTAGTGTATTGATAAGCAGATAGTTGTGTAGAGACTTACCAGAGTGGCTCTGGCTCGTCGGCGGAACTCCGAGCCTCCCATACATCTGCCTTTTTGTATAGTGAATCATCCCACTGCTGATGCAATTTCTCTACCCAACCCTGAGATGCGGATCGAGTCGCCTCACAGCAGTCAATATGAGACTCACGAAGACTCTTCAAAACGGACAAGATCCACTGTGCCTGGCATTCAATGGTTGTAGGAACATTCACTTTAACTGTTGGGCCCTGTGGACCCCATAGATAGAACATGTTAGGGAATTCAGGGATAGCCATTCCCAAATAGGAAATGACGCGCGGATTCCAGACGTCGGTCAAGTGCACGCCGTGCTTGCCGGTGATATTCAATTTGAGTAGGCCGGCACTCAAAGGCTCGAATCCAGTTGCGCAGATAATGACATCGAATTCCCGTTCAGTTGAGCCACTCTGGATGCCTTTGCTAGTTATCCTGGTCAACATTTCTTTTCTCGTGTCTACTACATCCACATTGGGCTGGTTGAATGACTCATAATAGTTGTCCACAAGCAAAGGCCTCTTAACCCCAATAGGGTAAGGAAGTATGCGAGGGACGAGTATGTCTCGTTTTATGGGGTCTCTTATCTTCGCTCGTGTTATATTAGCCCAGGACGAATATAGCTGTTCGTTGGCTGCTTTGTTCGCTAAGACATCTGGAAAGTTTTCTAAGATGAGACTCAGACTTCCTGCCTTATATAACTGCCTGTTCAGGAGATCACGCAGTGGAGATCCTATTGGCACTGACTCGGAATCTTTAAAGAAATAGTCAAGACCGGAAAAGGATTTTGGTGATCGTCTAAAAACGGCGCAAGTCTCTTCCGGGGTCAATGATGCAATATGCGGATTGGAAAACTTGTCAGATTCTGGTGAGTTTGGGATAACCACAGCAGGCGTCCTTTGATAGACTGTCAAACTTTTCACTATAGGCGCTATGCTCGCGACAACCTGGGCTCCCGAGGCACCAGTACCAAGGACAGCCACTCGCTTATCCTTTAACGAAACCTCCGAAAGTGGCCAGCGCCCGGTGTGATACAGCTCCCCTTGAAACTGATCAATACCTTTGATTGTTGGCATAGATGGCGTGGAAGCAAACCCAACCGCGGGAATAAACCACCGCGCGGTCAAACACCTTCCATCGGACAGAGAGATGGACCAAAATAAATCCTCGTTAAACGACGCTTGAACAACAGTGGTACCGAAGTCAAAGTCCTTGCTCACATTCCACTTCGAATTGACATATTGGAAATAAGCACGAATCTCGCTATGCTCTGTGTATCTTTCCGAGAACGTCCAACCGCTGGCTAATGTCTCGTCTTGAATTTGATAGAAGGGCTGGGGACTATCGCATCGTGCGCCAGGGTAGCGATTGGCGTACCAAACCCCACCAAGGCCGTTGTAACGCTCAATCCCTCGTACATTAAATCCGTTTTCCCTCAACCTAGATCTATCGTAAGAAATGCGGGTGTAGACTAAAGGGAGGAGGGGGGGGGGGAGTGAAGGACAGACAGGTACAGCATGCGGATTCCTGCGAACCCAGCACCCACCACAATCGCGTCGAAGTCTGGAGACATAATTGGACTAGTGATAAGAAACAGATAAAGATCGAGTTGAAAAGAAATGGCGATACTGTATTGAATAAGCCTCTATGTGGTATGGAAGAGAGTACCTTATATGGGAGGCATGGCTTTTAAATAGCACCTATCTTATGAATTCAGGAGCGTAGTGAGATGCTGGTCGCCCAAGGTGTTGCCATTCCATCGTCTAACTTTCGTCTGACAAATTTGTACAACGTTAAGTGCCGGCCATTGATATACAGATCTATGCAGATTGTAATACGTGGGTCATTTATATACTAGCGGTGAAGGAACAATCTTAGTCAATCCATGATGATACCAAAAACTGCTCCTGTATATAACGCTCGAATAGGGAAAACGTGAAGTTTAGTAGTCTACTAGCACGCACGGTTTGTCAAAAGATGTTTGCATGTTTGTAGGTTTCATGAGATCGTTTCTGAAGAATCATGCATGGAGGCTGCATGCCAATGCTTGGGTCATGCGAAAATTGTCAATTCATGTCACCTGCTGTGGTGAGAAATGACCAGGACCACACGTGACTACATGCACTCTGTAAAAGCACAAAAAAATTACATTTATCGCCTGAGTAGTATGATATGTTAGTGTTGATCTTATAGAGAAGATATGATATTGATTCCTCTACTGCATGAGCCCTAAGAAGGAAAGCAACTCCATACTCTTTTCATACCTAACTACATCTATATATACGTACGGCAGATTTAATATGTGTACTGCACACCTCCGGAGCAGCATCGTATGGGAAAAGATAGCATATCTATACCTAAATACACCGGATGTAATATAATATAATGCAAGTCCAAGGGATTGGGCATTCTCATCATGATGCAGCTGGCCCGATCTGTGTTGCGAAAGAATCTATAGCGTAATCCCACAACAATCACTTGAAACAGTAAATTATAAATAGTGATGTGATATCCCATGGGAGACAATAATTCACACATTATCTTGCTATATTCGGCATTCAAACTACCCAGGGGGCTTTGTTCTCAGGTGTCATTGATCAAGATGTTCAAGAACACAATATACCAATTTCAGACTTTTGTAAGGCTCCAGAGTTCTCGAGTAGAGACACTGCTAATAAGCAGAACTTTGCTTTACTTGTTTTGTCTATATTCCTGGCTTATACATTGAGTCTAATCCTATACCGTCTCTATCTGCACCCTCTGCGCCGATTTCCTGGTCCAAAGCTTGCTGCCATCTCAAAGTTTTACGAATTGTATTTCCACTACGTCCATGATGGCCAGTTCGTTTTTGAGATTGAAAGGATGCATCAGAAATACGGTTGGTTCTTCGTCTAACGGACATATCGATCAACAACTAATCACTATCATTGATACCGAAGGTCCAATAGTGCGAATCAGCCCCCGAGAAATACATATCTGCGATCCCGACTTTTATGCACAGATCTATGCCGGAGGCTCAAAAAGGCGGGAAAAAGATCCAAAGTTCGTCCCGGTATACTCCATGCCCCAGTCTCTGGTGGCGACTGTTGGCCACGATCTGCACCAACGTAGATACCGAGTAATGGGAAGTTATTTCTCTAAACAATCAATAACAAAAAGGGAGCCTGCGATAAATCACTGCATACAGAGATTATTATGGCGATTCGAGCAGGCGCAGAAGACTGGTGAATGTGTTACATTGAATAGTGCATTCACCGCGATGACTGGAGATATTATCACAAAATACTCGTATGGCAAGGAATTTGGCTATCTTGAAGCAGATGACTACAAAGAAAAATGGAAGGCCGCTGTAAGGGGCTCTCTGGAAGCAGGGGTATTATTTCGGCATTTCCCTCTTCTGGATGTCTTCAAGCTTCTCCCACGAAGATTATCCCAGGCGCTCAGTCCTGGCATTGAAGAAATCTTTTGCATCGAGGATTTGGTTCGAAAACAAGTCCAAGACCTACTTTTGGCTCCCATGAACGAGGCGAAAAATGAAAGTACGATCTTTGATGCTCTGTTGGGTCCATCCGTTCCCCCAGAGGAGAAAACTGTGGATAGGTTGACTGATCAGGGCCATATGCTTCTTGTTGCTGGTACTGAAACTACGGGTAACACGCTGACTGCTATTGCATTCCACTTGCTGAAGAACCCCAGTGTGTTGGCCTGTTTGCGGGAAGAGCTAAAAGTCGCTATGCCTACTACCGATAGCATTCTCACATGGAGCAGCCTGGAAAAACTGCCATTTCTGGTAAAATATATGGTTAAAACACATTCTAATATGCTTCTGCTAACATAATATCAGAATGGTGTGATACAAGAAGGTCTCCGGCTTAGTTTGGGGGCATCTAGTAGGCTTCCACGGATCGCCCCAAACGAGACTTTACAGTATGGTGAATGGATTATTCCAGCTGGGGTAAATACTTTGACATGTTTATCACGGGCTATACCAAAGCTGACATTATTCGTACAGACTCCAGTGAGCACAGCAACGTACTTCGTACACATGAATCCTTCTATATTTCCGAACCCGGAGAAATTCGACCCACAACGTTGGATCACAGCTTCTGAGAAAGGCCAACACCTGGATAAATATATGGTTTCTTTTACAAAAGGCAGTAGGCAATGTTTAGGGATCAGGTAAAATACCCATTCAATCCACATACAAATCTTTATTTATCTAACAACCTTCGTCGTTTAGTCTGGCATATGCAGAGTTATATCTTACCGTTGCAGCTCTTTTCCGCCGAATAGACATGGAGCTTTATGAGACAAGCGAGGATGACTGCAGTTTCTCCCGAGATTGTTTTATCCCGGCTGCAAAAAAGGAATCCAAGGGAGTTAGAGTGTTTATCAAAGGATCCATCCAGTGAAATTCAAATCACGGAATGATGAATGGTATTGGATGAAGAGAGTATATTGTTGAGAAACGGGAAAATCACACGCTCAGCGTAGAATCTACCTTTCGTGTATGTCGGCTTTATTTCTACTTTTTGGCTTTTTTTTTTCAGAGAGAAATGTTTCATGTCTCTAGTTATGTATTTCATTCTTATAGTACTTTGTATCCCACGTCCTCCACCTCGACGCTGGCCACCGTGACGTGATTATGGGCAACGCTTTATATTGTCAATGTGAGCTTCTGAGGACATGGCTCGAACCATTATGCTCAGATATTCCAGGCTCCGATATATATAGTGCATGACATGACACGAGCTAACTTTTTATTATAGATATACAAATAAATATAAATGTTGTTTCTAATATTCGATTGAGAATGAGGCAAAAGTAAAGGTAGGATAAGTTAAAGTGAAGACATCAGGGACTTGTTTACGTATAGTTTCTTCTAGCCAGACTGTCTAATTGCAGTTCTAACAGGTATCTATACAAGGAAATGGGACATAGAAAGGTCATTTTGTAGGATATGTAATTCTCGCTACATCCTACAGTTCATGATTTCTTAAGCGACGAATAGAATAGACCGAAAGTACGGACACTGAAATCGACCTACAAAGGCCTGGGGCTCTCAGCTCGAAGTAACAAGACCTCCACACAAAGAAGAACATACTAAGATCAAAAGGATCTGTGAAAAAAAAAATTAATAATAATAATAATTGAAACGCCTTTACCAGTAAAATAGCCACGGAGATTCTATCCAAAAGTTATCTTATGTACTGTAGTGGGGGTGTTGGGTCTCCGAGGATGCCATTTACAGACATCTTGTGCCTTTTCTAGTGCAAAAGTTTTAAGTTGATCCTTCAATGAATTTGATCCTGAATTTGAATCTTATCACTTCGCTACAATGGATGATACGGTGACAAATTATCCCTATCAATAAAGAAACTACCCCTTCACAGATCAGAATTTCGGCAGTTTGAAGTTTCAACAACCAGACTTTCTCCGCAAGGGAATTAAAAACTGTGGGGAAGCTTCGTGGATTAGCCGTCAAGTTCTTGGCTGTATGGAGAACTTGAAGTGAACATGAAAGAGGTCCACACCCAGTTATATTGTATATGCGATCAAATTTCCAAGCGGATAAAGTCCAAACAGGGAATGATGACATTTCCCAGGCCACGCGAGCCCCTGGACACAGATGTGTGGAGAGAATGTGGGAGAAGCGGGAAAGACTTACTCCGCCATACTCATGAAGCACATAAAAAACATAGTAGGATCACTCGGGCATTGTACCGTTGGAATTTTGGTTGTTCTTGAAAAGATTCCTCGTACTATTTTGTATCTTTTATTTCAAATATTTTAGATCTTCCTCTTTCTTGTCGTGACAACACTGGTCACATATCTATACCTTCTCCGCATACCTCCGATATAATGGCGAAGACACCTCAAGAGTTACAGATCGCCATTGTGGGCGCAGGCATGGGGGGTCTGACCTCCGCTTTGGCTCTGGCTCAGCAAGGATTTAAGAATATTGATGTTTATGAAAATGCGAACGATCTCGGTTTTGTTGGTGCCGGTATTCAATTGGCACCGAACATGGCCCGAGTTTTGGATGGACTCGGTGTCTGGAAAGGGATTGAGGCCGAGGCCGTGAATATTGAGGACACATCAGTGCGAGGTATTTTGATCTATCAATCAAACAATGGATACGATCTAATCTTTGTTTGCAGACGGCGCAACGGACACTGAGCATGCACATGTGGATCTGCGGTACATTGAAAAGACATATGGATATAAGCACATGGTTGGCCACCGTGCATCACTAGCCAACGGACTATATGATGGCTGCAAGCAACACTCCGCAATTAACTTCCATTTCGGAGTCACTGCAGATAACGTGGACTCGTTCGGCCCTCGACCATCATTCACAGCTATTCCCCGCGCCGATGGAGCTACTCCGTTCAAGGTTGAGTGTGACATTCTTCTCGCTGCGGATGGTATCAAGAGTGTTACCCGTGTGGAGATGCTGAAACGATTGGGAGTTGACGTTGGCGTCAAGGACACCCAACAAGCCGCTTATCGTATAATGATCCATAAGGAGCAGATCAAGGACGATCCCGAGCTTTTGGCCCTCATCAACAGCAACCGTGTGACTCGCTGGATTGGTGAAAAGCGTCACATTATTGCCTACGCCGTCTCCAACAATACCATTTACAACCTCTCTACCACCCAGCCCGATACCAACTTCGCAGCCGCCACAAACGCTACCTACACCACCAAGGGCTCCAAGCCTGCTATGATGGGCGTCTTCTCCGACTTCTGCCCCATGGTCCAGCGCATGCTAAATTACGTCCCCGAAGGCGAGGTCTGCGAATGGAAGCTGCGCGTTCACGACCCACTCCCCACTTGGGTTCACGATTCCGTCGCCTTGGTTGGTGATGCTTGCCACCCTACCCTGCCTCATCTAGCCCAGGGTGCTGCCCAGGCCATTGAGGATGGAGCCGTTCTGGGTGTTGTTCTGTCCAAGCTCCCCGATACCACCCCAGAGTCTATCAACAAGGCTCTCCGTGTTTACGAGAAAGTGCGCAAGAACCGCGCGGAGGCTTTGGTTGAGATGGCTACTGCTTCTGGTCGTGCCCTGCACTTGGGTGAGGGTGCTGCCAAGGAGGAGCGTGACAAGCAGTTTGCTGCCCTCCGCGCTGGTAAGGGGCCTGTGCCTGATAAGTGGGCTGATGCCGATGTGCAGCGTGAGATCTACGGCTTTGACTGCACCAAGGTTGCCGCCGATAGTTTCGATGAATACTTCTCGCAGATGTAAGTGTTGTTCTTCAAATTCTTTATACTACACCTGGCATATGCCTCTCTTGCATATGTCCTTTTTTGCAAATCGTGTATTTCTTCTTTTGTATACTTACAGCCTTTGGACCACACGTCAAAAGAAATGAGATTATCATAGCACCTTGAACTGTTTCTGCTCTTCCTTTTCTTGAGCGAAAATGATGCTAAACCATTTCATTCGTATAGAGACAATAACCAACGTCACTCTAAGCTTGCATAAAAACTGGGCCGTCGTGCTGTACTGACTACTATATGGGTTGGAGCCGGGAGAGCTGGTTTACTTTCCAGATCTTGTGCATACGAATGCTCCTGGACAACAAGGGCGACACCGGTTTAGAAATACTCCTTGTGTACCCATAAAGAGTATGTCATATGCTGAGATATAGAAATGGAGTTGAAACTCAAAGAGTGCTTAATACCTCTTGAAATTGGGAATTTTCAATTTGTTGAAGCTTTCATAGATAATCGCATCTAGTCATTTTAAGCTCTTTTTAGAATAGTTCTTTTCGGCGAAAATTTGTGCTCTGAATGTGTAGTTGAGCCGCAAAATTAATTTGCGCGGCCGATTTTACCCAGGAGCGACGCGAACCTCACAAGTTCAAACATCGGTCCAACTGGGTGCTTAAGCAGCGCCATGGTGTTCTTTCCAGACTTCTGATCATCTCAGATAAATGCCTTTTCCGGCAGTATGTCTACAACGTGATTTATAGATTCTCCAGGCTAATTAGACTGGTCACAGACTCCATCACCATTCCGCCTCCCCCGCAAACCATCCACGCGCCGCAGTGGCCCTCAATTCGCCCCCACACCTCGATTTCTGTTGTCACAAAGTGCAACACAGAAGGGAGATGGTGATATCGATGTGATAGATGACGATGATTCATCTTCAACGCGTAAAGTCGCGCAAAACTCGCCTGCTACCCAGAGTGCCACCCGCTCGCGACAACGTGACGTGATCGAGGACTCGGATGATGCCGCAGATATAAAAAACATACGAATTGGAGCAGGAGATGTGGATGAGATACCAGATGATGCCATAGACAGCACTCCTCCCGAAGACCCAGAGACTCCAGGCATTCTTGACGCTGAGTTCGACGCACTATTTGCGCCGGTCAGAGATGGGAATAAACGACGGCGTGTGGAGGTAGCGACGCCTGTCAGTCGAAGTAATCTAACACAGCTTGATCCAATACTGTCATCACCACCCCAAACTGCGAACCCTCCGTCCGATGCCCTCGATTTGCCCGATCAAAGCAGACAAAGCACTGCGACATGGGATAAGGGTACCCAGAGAACTCCTGCACCATGTGCACGTCCATTTGCAGCAGTTGCATCAACATCGGGAAATATAAAAACACCGTTTCGCAGTCGTCCTCGGTTTATGCTTTCCTCGACGGCGAAGCCTCCCAGCAGCCAGTCCACACCCAAATTCAAACCCGACACTCCGGGCATATCACCGCCTGAGAGACGGAAACCGGCTTTTGTTTTCCCTCGCTCCCCGTCGCCGAATCCGGATGCAGAAGATATCCCTGCACCATTCTCTCCCTCCTCACGCACACTTCGTCGTCGTGGTCGGAACCGAGCTGGTGCGTCCAATTATATTCCTGGTGGAATGGCCGCTGAGGTACGCGGCTGGATCTTGGAGATGGGGGCGAAACGTGACCAGTTCCAGAAACCACCCTTGGTTCAAGCTCCAGACCCCCAGGCGGCAGATGCTTCGCTGGAAAAGTTGAAGATGTATTTCCTAACTGCGCGTGTCATCGATGTCAGCCACTCAACTCTGAGCGGGTGTGGCTCCCTCGCCTTCCTTCAAGCAGAAGTGCTTAGTGGGAATCATGTGCAGCAGGAAAATCCGGATGCGACATTCAATATCATGATTATGGGACCTTCGCGATCTAAGTACGCTGTTCGTCCAGTTCCCTCGCATTCTGATGCCACCGTGACACCCTATCTGCGGAAAGGGGATATAGTGGGGATTCACAGAGGGCTCAACTGGAACTTGGAGCTTGGGACTCACTTTCCTGAACATCGAACACCTGGTCGAGTATCTAACCAAGTATCACAGTGTGGTCCATCTGAAAATGGTGAACATCCAGAGGCAAAAGAGGGCTGGCTCATAGCCATGGAATGGGACCTTATAGAAACAGCTCCATGAGTGATAATGATTTATAGTTAAGGGAAAGTGTATTTTCTTTCTTCCATTATATCTCATAGACCTGCATACATGTACCTAATATGGTTCTATGTATGTATTACCCACATCAGCGTTTATTTTTGAGAATGCAATATACGCTCTTCTTCACCAGGGCAGCTTTTCCCAGGAAAACCTGACTGAGCAGGCTAGGCTCCTAGGTTTGCACGGACACCATTTACTTCTTCCTTGTCTTATTTAAAATAATCCAAGTGCTTCGAATATGTGAACATAAGCAAATCATGAATAGCGTAACAACTTGGGTATATTCTATATGCAATTGCAAGATGCATTCAATGCACTCTTTAGTCCGCAACAGCCTTAAGGGCATCTGCAGCCACATTGCATCCCCACCGAACTAGTTTGAGTTCCTCTGGGGACACAATATCAGTCTTCGCGACAACCTTTCGCAAAAAGTAGATCAGACCCTTAGCAATGTGTGGTGTCTCCTTGACACGCAAGAAGATTTGCATCAAAGGCCCTTCATTCTTCTCAGGTTCATCTGGGGTGGAACTCTTAGACTTCTTCTTCTTCTTGGACTTTTGGGATTGTTGAATGATACTGATGATCAAGATTTCGACAAATGTCTTGGTCTTTGGCTGTAGGTATGCGAAGTTGAGATTCTTCAAAATGCTCAGTGTCAAGCTGCCGTCCATAATGAGGGTGCTGAACATCTTGGCCAGGTTGACCACAGACTTCATGCTGACACCGTTCTCTTCATCATCTGGATCGAAGTCGTTGTCTTCATCCTCGTCGATATCTCCTCGCTCGCCCATCTTCTTGAACATACTCCAGAGAGCAAACATAAACGACATTTTCATGCGTCGACCCTGCTCACCGCAAATGCGACGCGCAATCAGAGAATAGTATGGGTTATGAGCCTGTTCCTCCATGGCACAGTGTAGGAGGACACGAGGGATTTCATACTCCTGTGCGCGCTTGAGACGAAGCTTCATGAGTCGGACATGTGCATCTTGGAAGTCGTTGGCAGACATGATAGCAACGAAAACAGACCGACGAACGTCAGTGTTCATGCGGTGGGCTCGGGCAAGAACTCCAAAGTCAGGCTCGGCGTCGCTTTCATCATCTACTACTTCAGGTTGTGTTGTTTGCATATCAGCCATTTCTCGCTGGGCTGTTACAAGAGGGTCTTCCTTCCAGCTTGCGCCGACCAACCACCACTTGCCCTTCTTGGAGGAGTTGTGGATATCCTCACGGGAGATGTTAATAGGTTCGGATGCACGGATCGTCCGAGAGTTATTCAAAGAACCCAGGATCTTGCGCATTTTGGTAATGTGTTCTGTTGTGATACCTGCGCCAACTGCAGCTGAAGCTTTCGAGCGGTTGTTTTTCAAATCCGTGATCAGGTCAATCATAAACTTTGTTCGAACAGAGAGACTATCCTCGCCAGCCTTTGCGACGGCGGGTTGCATGAGCAATACGATATCCTTGAGGGCAGACGGGTCGTCGAGTCGAAGTTGAGGGCCAGAGTCTGCGTACAGTTAGAGGGCTAGTAGTTTTATCATGGGTGGGATATATCACTTACTCCGAATGACCTTGAGCAAGAGTTCGGTATTTGATTCCGTGATCTCCTGCACGAAAAGACGAACGTAGTCAAACATCAAAGAAGAACCGATGACGTGAAAGTTGTAAAGTTGCGAGAGAAGAGAGACCAGGTTAGTAGCTTCTTTCCCTTGGAACTTTCCACGCTCGTCACCATCAGCATCCAATGTTTCAACAACCCTTTGGATAATCTCCGCGCCAACATCCATTCCCATGAGCTTATACAACGCCGCAATGAAACCTGCATGCAAAATGAGGAAGGTATCCTGGAGGGCAGCCCGCTCACAGATCATGCCCATTAGGAGGTCGACCAAAGTAGATGTGACGTGCTGGCGAGGGTAATCGCGGTAAAGCTTTTCGAATTCGGCAACAATAGAGAGCATATTGGCCTCGGACAACTTATTGATATGTCCTTGAGCTTGGCGCTTGAGACGAGTGAGGGATTCGCTTTCGGAGTCGGAGCGGTTTCTTAATGAAGGTGGAATGTACTTTTGAGCAGTGGGTTCAGGTTTCGTGACCGGGGCGATATAAGGATTTTCTTTCTTTTTTGGCTCCTTGCGCTCTTCCTCGTCGAACCCGTCGAAATCACTGCCTTCGGCGGCCTCGTCTGAATCATCGCCCCCAAAGATTTCCTCGTCGAGATCGAAATCATCGGCGCTATCCATTTCACTATCATCTTTCTCAAGTTGTTGGGCTTGCAAATTCTTGGCCTTAAGTCTCTTGTTTCGTAGCCAATCATCGGCCTCTCGTTTGCGCTTTTTGCTCTCATCCTCTGAGGCATCGCCGCCACCACCACCCAGGTCTCCCAGCAAATCCTCTAGTCCATCCTCTTCAAAGCTCTTAGATAGCTTACCTCCTTTTTTGAGGCCAAGCTTTTTCTCCAATGCAGCAATTTCGGCGTCGTCTTGCGCCAACTTAGCCTTGACTGATGCTGGGATGTGGTGCTCAGCTTCTTCGGGTTCGTTTCCGTTTCCATAGGCCTCGTCTTCCGACTCATCATCCGACTCGTCATCTTCATCTTCATCCTCATCCTCATCCTCATTGAGGTCAATTTCTGACCCGAACCCGGACTCAGGCTCAGACTCGGATTCAGAGTCTTGTTGAACTGCTGCTTTCTTCAGGATCGATTTGGGCTTCTTCACGGCCTCTTTTGTGGATTTAGACTTGGTCTGCGGTGCACTAGGTTCCTCGTCGAGATCCATGTCGTCTGAGTTGAGGTCAATATCCTCGTCCGCAATTTCCTCATCGCTGTCATCCTGAGCCTGCTGTTGAGGCTTTTGCTGAGGCCGCTGCTGGGGACGCCCAAAGGTCTTCTTATTCGGTGGGCCTGCATGTCGGGATTTCTTCTGCGTACGCTCGTTTTGGCGGCGTTCTTTGCGCGAGGCAGGGCCGTTTAGGCGACGCTTCTTGTCACCGTAGACATCACGGATTCCGAGCTCGGATCGTAGATCACGAGGCAAGGCTGTCGTATTATGCCGAGGACGGGGCGGCATTTTGTTCGTCTGAGATATTTTTCGGCTCTCAAGAGAGTTCAAATGTCGGATCTCAATGTCAGGTACCCCGGGCGGTCGACAACTTTTTTCACTTTTCTGCTGCCCCAAAACAAAGGCGGAGAGACACCCACAGCGGAGTTTATCCCCCACTGTTCATTGTTCCCAGCTGTCAATTGCATATTGATCATCTGCTCCAGCTTTCAGATCGCTTAATTATCGCGCGCCTTAAATATCTCCAAATATGGCCCCACATTTGGGACACGATGAGGTAAATATTGATATCGGTGTTACATGACCGCTACACCTCCGTGCATGCGACCACGATCACCAGTTCCAAGCTATCCATATCACTAACACCGGTCACCTTTAGTTCTTCAAATCTCTCGCCGAGTTGCTCTCCATAACCTCCCAACAAGTCCACGGCTCCGTAAATCTCACTCAAAAGGCTCTCATTGATGTGCCCGGTGCCACAACCACAAACTCCCAACCATCTATCCTCATCCGAGCCACAGATGGAAACACCAATACACCGAACCTCAAGAACGCAAGCAAGGAAACCAGGATTGCCAAGAACAAGAGTCAGAAGGTCAAGCTCTCGACTATCGTCAACCCGGATGATATTGAGGCGTTCTACGTTCGTTATGCGGAGGTCTGCAAGGCAGGAATGTCCGGTTTGAAGAAGAGAGATCGACGAGCCCGCAAGGCTAAGACCAAGGGCGGAGCTGCGAAGGTCACGAAAGCATAGATTTGCTCGCTCGGTCTACTCCCCAGATAGCATCATCGTCTATGTACTCGGCTCGGATTTGATACGCGATGTGTTTGATGGCTTCGTTTTCTCATGCATTAGCTGGCGTTGATGGTGGTTCTGGCTTCTTTTTCTCAATATTTCAATTCGAGCTTCCTGTCAAGTGTATATATTCCCCTACGCTTGTAGCCCACGGGCGCTGTGTTTGTTTATACGAGTCCTGTGGGACGGAAAAATAAATGAACAGCTTTTAGCACTACACTTGGGCATACCGTAGATTGTATCTCTAATATCTTTGTTCAAATCATGTAGACTAGTACCAATAGCACTGGATAGGATCTGTGTGTTCAGGCCATATGGAACAGTCATGAGATTGAAAGAGCGTATTTGTATCAATTAATTAGTTGTTTCTGATATGACCCCCGGGAATTCCATTGATACATGCAACGCTAGAGTACAAAAATTCAGTAGAATACAAACCATGCCATATATCCGCCCATAAGTCGTGCAAATCAGTTCCAAATATCATAACAAAGAAAACATTAAGATGGTCGCTGTAGTAGGGGAATACAAAGAGTAGGTATTAAATCGACCGTAAGATGGGGGCGAAAATCCAGGTGAGGAAGTGAGAAGAATAAAGAAAATTAGAAGGCGGGGCATTTCGACGACTAATCCAGATCCCAAGGGTCAAGTTTCTTGTAGATCTCAGCGTCCTCGTATTCCGAAGAAGTCTGAGGCTCTAGTGGAAAGCTGAAGTCATCTTCGGTAACTGGATCGTTCTTTGTTCCCTGGGAACGAGAATGTGGTTCGCTCGTTGTGGAGCTGATAACCGGCTGCACAGCTGGGTTGATGACAATGCGCGCAGCGATATGAAGGAGAATGACAAAAAGATAGGCTGGGGGAATCAATACTAGGGTGATAGCCTTCGAAATGAAGGATGAGCCATCATCACCAGATGGTTGGTACAATGCCGAAGCATGAGGCATAGGAGAAACGTCACGCTCCCTTGTGGCTTTTGCCCGACGCCGGAACTCGGCAGTCATGTGGTCGAAATCAGTATTCAATGCACTGGTCTGGGCATGAATATGCGTGCGCATTGGAGCGTCTGAAGATGCACTGGCAAAATGACTGGGTGGATTCACGTTGCTTGTAGGGGCCATTGAGGGCGAGGTGTCCGAGAACGCATCTGCGAAGCGGCGCGGCAGATTGTCCAAACTTGTACTATGCATTAATGGAGGGGTAGGCACGCTGGTCGGGCTTCGGATGTTGTCGCTTTGGGGAATATTGAGTGTTGGGAGCTTTGACGTCTTACAAGCACCCGCTGGTGGTGGTTCCAATCCAGAAATGATATGGTTTGTGCTCGAAAGATCCAACATCTCGACTGGCTCTGACAGCTCATGGCCTCCCACAGATGTAGGATGGGTAGAGACCGAATCTGGCGATTGAGGCTCAGCAGAATGGAATGACTCCGGGCTAGATGCAAAGGACGCATCATGGTCAACGTCTAGTGTGGGCTCGGCAGTGGGCTGAACGGGTTGAGCTTCTTCAACATCCGTTGAATTCCCTTCCACTACTGCCTCGGCGTCAACTGCACTGGTAGGTTCAGCACGAGATATAGCTTCCTCTGAAATTTCAGCCGCCAACGCTGTGTCAGTCTCGATTATAATGACAGGTTTCGCTCCAACCGCAGCTTTGCTAGAAGGTTCGGTTGGCGATATAGCTTCTAGCCCAGATACAGGCTTGGTTTCGAGCTGCGCTTCGGCTTTAACTTGAGCGTCTGATACGGCTCCAACTCCACCATCGGCTAAAATCTCAGGTTCGAGTTGCTCTGTAACGTTGAGGCCCTGATCAATTGAAAATGCAGCATCTGTATTGGGTGCAGACTCTGGCTTGGGCGCGGGTTCAGAGTCATGGTTATTCTCCGCGACTGTGGTAGCCTCAAATTTTGCAAGAAGGCTAGTGAAATTTTGTGGTATTTCGGTCACCGATCGTCTAGGAGGGCCAATATATGGGGAAGGACTCAAAGACTCAACAGGAGAGGATTCTCGGTGGTCAGGAATTGTCCCTAAGATTGTACTGTTCGCTTTGTTTGAAGTGAAACAACTATCATCTGTTAGGTTTCCGTCCGTGTCATCTCCAGTGCTTGCGGAATCGACCCAATCCGATTTGATTGAGGAGGGTGACGGTGTCTCTTGCGGATGTTCTAGAACAGTCGGTACCCTGTCTCTCCGGTCTTTAGGTTGCCAGGCCTTTTTGCGCCGAGGTGCCATCACATCGTTCGGGAGCTCCACACTGAAGGCGCGTTTGAAAGGACATGGCGTGACCTCATACCGAAGTACTGTTGGTAACGCGATCTTTAAATCGCGCACCAAATTCTGTTCGTCTTCCGTCTCGTATGGTAATTCGATGCGATAGTATGTAAGAGGGCGAATTCGTAAAACAAATTTCGAGACCCCATCAACGCACCAACACTGGGAGTTTTTCAGGATCGCATGGACCACATTTCCACATTTCAGAAATGCTGTTGAGCCGTGGACCTTCTCGAGCCTCAGTGGTGCGGTTGCGACCGTTCTTTCAGTCGCAGAGCGCCAAGGGAGTGTTTCGATGGTGTCAACCGGGTAGTCAAAGTCGGACGGCGCAGAACTGGAAGGAATAGGGGCGAGCGCTCTTGGGGAGAAATGCACAATCTTCGCAGATGGGTGATAAAAAATTACATGTTCGGGGGTATTCGGCACGCTCAAACGACGTTGCGCCAGTGGATTTAACTTGGTGGGAAGGGTGAGAGAACGGCGGAGGGATTGTATCTGACCTAGCTCACTTGGAGACTCAGGCATGGTTCATGAATGCGATCAATAAGAGATATATGAGAATATGTAAAAAGATTAATGTAGAGACATTATTGTACAAGATACTGCAAAAAAAGTCAGGGTATCCGATGCAAGGGAACGGGGCTTATCCGCGATGCGCGGGGAGATGCACTGTTGCCTCAGGCTATATATGTCAGGTGACCATGACGCAGCTTTCAATGGCCAGGCATCCACAGGTATTTCACTTTAATTTTCAAGCATGCCTTGCTAGATTCTTAGCTATTTCGACAATTTGACGTCCTTCACAGTGGTATTTACTTGGATCTTTCGCAGCCATAAACGCCACGATGTCGAACTTCGAGCCAAATGCCGTGATCCGCGGCTTCCAGCTTACAGTGGTAGGAAGTATGTCACTTGTATTTTTCCTATCTCTCGACCATTCAGGGAAATTGCTTTGAAATACATAGGCGGATACCTGGCTACACAAGAAATTCTATCAATCTCTTCAGCGCTGCATAGCGTCGGAGTCGGGGTTTGCCAAGACTTTGATCAAGGAGCTCCCTTGTACTGAATTTAGCCAGCCACCTATCATTTGCCTTGGAATGATCCCCTAAATGGAAATGCATTTTGATTAGTTGCTAACCAAGCCCTGCAGCTGTTCGTGCATTGTCGAACCCCGAACTATTCAAGTATGATCACTTCCGCCAAGCAGCTCTCGCGGTAGCCATCGGCATCGTGATCCAATTGATCATTCAAATTCCGGTATGTTACCAAACTCTTTCTCGTCGGGTTACTTTCTAACTTGAATTCAAGATCCTTAGCGTAAAATTCTCCGTCTATGTCTTATCATGGGTGGTCAACCTAGAGCAGGCTGTCTGGGACGACAAGCTTCTCAATGGATTGGAATTTATGTCCAAGTCCGTCCTTCAGGTGCCATTCTTGCTCATGACCCTAATGCGATATGTGACACCCACGCTGGATGAAATGTTCGTTGTCTTGACAATAAACTTCTTTGGCAGAGTCCGCTGACCATTCCACCAGCTTCATGCAGTCCATCCAATGGGTGGACATGACATACATTCAGAAACATAAATCAGAAGATCCTCATAAGCTACGCTCTCTATACTACCCCAATCTTGCTCAGTACTCCCGCAAAGGTGGCTCCAGCGTTTCTCGGCCACTTCCCGAAGCACTGAAGTCATTCTTCAATCGCTATGCAAAGAAGATTGGCATGATGCTTGGTATCTATCTTCTCTCAATGGTTATGATCATTGGTCGGTTCGTTATGCCAGCAGTGAGTTTCTACACATTCCGAAGCCATGTCGGGTCCACCCCCGCGGCTGCCATTTTTGGCGTAGGCTTGTTTCTGCCGAAGAAGTACATTGTCATGTTTCTCCACACCTACTTTGCCTCGCGCAGTCTGATGCGTGAACTTGTAAGTCTAGCTACCCTCTCTCACTTGGGATTTATCTTAACCTCTTCTAGCTCGAACCCTACTTTTGGCGCATTAAGTTCACCCCCGAGCAAAAGCGTCGGTGGTTCCGTGACCGAGAAGGTGTTCTCTTCGGGTTTGCCTTTGCTTTCACGGTTCTTTTGCGCATCCCATACATTGGTGTCCTGATGTATGGCATCGCTGAGGCATCTACAGCGTACCTTGTCACCAAGATCACCGACCCGCCTCCACCTCCTGCTGAAAGTGCAAACTTCGCCGAAAGCCAGGTTACCTGGAAGAACAAGCATGATTTCTTGCGCTTATCTCTCGATAATCTTGACAAGCTCAATGTCGACACGGATGAGCATGGTAACAAGGATGCTGGCTCAACTGAAAAGAAATTTTCTTGAGAGCTGTTACTAAACTTCCACGTTCTATTCGAGAATTAGGTATGGCCTTCGGTACTGCACAGATAGCATGCATATCAGGGCATTATTAACATACAAGACGAACATCCCATCATGTCTTTATTGTTTATGGAGAAGTCTCAAAAATACATTTCATCTTCAACACTACACTACAGCAACTGGGCATACAGCATATGGAGTGGCTTATCAAACCGGTGATATGCGAGATAAAGCGATGATAAGCCAGATCTCCAACAATTCACGTAACTATTATTCATGCCGACATATAAATGGACAGGGCGTCTGCGGGGTAAAGTGTTATCGTGAGGGGGGCCCAGGCCAGGATATCGGTATATTTGGGGCTGCCCCCGAAATTTGTACTCTCAGTCTATAGCTACTGCTTCAATCGCATCAAACGCCTCACCCCTCCAATAAGTGCAAATATGGGTATCAAGGGAATTCGTACTGCTCTAAAAGTCGACCTTGACAAGCCTGCGCGTGAACAGTCCGGCCTACATGTATGTTATTACATTATTGACATCGTTAAACACTGCTAAATCCCCGATAGAACAGATGGCATCCAGACGGTATGCTAAGTCTTGCTCCTGGAAGTCCCATTGAAGACGCTACATGCTAATTCCACCTCTTGTAAATAACCAGTTCCGGCCTATGGAAAAATCGCCAACAATGAAGTTGTCAAGATCGAATGTCTCGATTGGACTGGAGGTCAAATTGGAAACAACGACTCGGCCGACGATATCAAGAATGTCGATCTAAGCCAGATTCATTACCTATCCGGTCCATTCGACATCGAAACCGCAGAGCCTGGTGATGTCTTGGTCGTCGAGATTCAAGACGTCCAGCCCTTCGAAGAGCAACCATGGGGATTCACCGGGATCTTCCACAAGGAGAATGGAGGGGGTTTCCTAGATCAGCTGTATCCTGAGGCGTACGTCAAAAGATTGATTTCATGATACCTTGACATGTATTCGTGCTAATGGGTCTCATAGAGCAAAGGCGATTTGGGACTTTGAAGGAATCTTCTGCTCATCTCGACATATCCCACATGTTCGGTTTGCGGGACTAATCCACCCTGGAATCATGGGCTGTGCTCCATCGGCTGAAGTCCTGGCTGAATGGAATCGTCGAGAGGGGGAGCTTATTGTAGCCAATACTGTCGCTGATCGGATTGTCGCTCAGCCACCGAATCCCCAGAATGCCCATTCTGGTTCTGCTACCGATGATCTGAAGGAAAAGATTGCTAAAGAGGGTGCTCGAACTATCCCCGTGAGACGATTATCATATACAAGAAGCCTAATCCATATCCTGACATGTCTACTAGGGCCGCCCCGAGCACGGAGGTAATTGCGATATCAAGAATCTCTCCCGGGGATCGAAAGTATATCTCCCCGTCCACGTCCCCGGCGCTAAGTTCTCTGTCGGTGATCTGCACTTCTCGCAAGGTGATGGCGAGATCTCATTCTGTGGAGCCATTGAGATGGCCGGTGTTATCACATTGAAGTTCTCAGTCATCAAGGACGGCATGGCGAAACTAGACATGAAGTCACCAATCTTCCACGCAGGGCCCGTAGAGCCACAGTTTGGCCCTGGGCGATACCTGACGTTCGAGGGATTCTCGGTTGATGAGAATGGCAAGCAACATTTCCTGGATGCGACTGTCGCTTATAGACAGACCTGTCTCCGAGTTATTGAGTATCTCCGGCGCTATGGCTATAGTAATTATCAGATATATTTACTGCTCAGCTGTGCCCCGGTGCAGGGGCATATTGCTGGTATTGTGGATATTCCAAATGCTTGTACCACCCTTTCTGTCCCTATGGATATCTTTGATTTCGATATTCGGCCTGAGGCAGATGTGGTCAAAAAGGAGATGGGATCTTGCGCTTTCGTCACGAAGTAGCGCGCTTCGCACTGGAAGGGGCAAGCTGGATACTCTGCAGTTCACAGTGCACTTTATTTGGATATTTTAATCGACCTCTTGATATGTAATTCAAAGCATATGATCAACAAGGATGAAGCATTATCCAATACATTCTAAGGCATAAGCCAGTGGCTATCAGCACCTAGTCATAATAGTACTTCGATATTCTTCAAAAGATGGACGCTTGAACAGGTTATGCTTGAAATATATAATTTGGTACTTTTTGGGGGTAATGTTCTCCCCTATGATTTGGGTTAACGCACTTTAAGCCTGAAATACTGCGCCACAGGAAATTACCATGTAGAAGAGATTACAGTATGGACTTCGGACGAAGAACAAGGCAAATTGCCTGAATGATGTGATATCATACATCATGGGTCATTGGTGAGCGAGAAGACCTCGTCGTGAATCGTGATGGAACAAAGGAAAATGAAAATGAATCAATTTCAAACCGTTTAAGAGAAGAACTTCTTGGCAGCGGCCTTCTCCTTGGCCTCCCGGCTCTTGACGGTCTGCTTGACCTTGGCGATCTCGTTGATGATACCAGCATCGCCAGGAGCCAGCTTCTCCGCCTCCCGCAGATCCTTCAGCGCGGCATCCTCCTCCTTCAGGCCCTCGTGGGCAACAGCACGGCGGTAGTAGGCCTTAGCTCTATCGGCATCCTTGGCCTTGGCAGCATCTGCGACTTGTAGCGCATAACTAGCCCAGTTCTGAGCCTGTTGGAACTTCTGGAGCTTGTTGCCGAGCAGGGCAGAGTTGGAGTGCAGGGTGAATCGGAGTGCCTTCATCTGCTCGCCCAGCTCCTTGGGATCATTCTCGTCGGGCTCGGGGAACTCGTTCAAATAGCGCAGACCCTTCTGGTACTTTTCGAGACCCAGGTTGAGATCACCACTCTTGAAAGCAGTGTTGCCGAAGCCCTTTAGCTCGGAAGCGATCTTAAAGCAGAGAGGCGCAGTAAGCTGCTCGCCCTGGTGGTCCTCGGTGAAGTCCTCGTATGGGTCGCCTGTCGCATCCTGCTGGCGCTTGGTCGCATTCTCGTAATCCTCACCAGAAAGCTCGCCGCAGTCAACCACGGTGACATCCTGGATGGGCTTGTCGGACTGAGTCTTCAAGTTCTCGATCTTGCGAATCACACTCTTGCCGTTGATGACCTCACCGAACACGACGTGCTTGCCATCCAGGTGAGGAGTAGGGACGGTGGTGACGAAGAATTGACTGCCGTTGGTGCCGGGACCGGAGTTGGCCA